ACAAGGAGAAAATAAGAAAATACGAGCGGCGAAATCACGAAAATATGGGGATATGAAATATAAGAAAATGTGTTTGTTTCAACTCACTCGTTACATGGGTTGTGGCTGCAAACGGCGAATTAGTAAACGAAAACGTACGAAAATAACATTCTTATTGAACAACGATTGAGAGCCGAGAACAGAAAATTAAATATGGCGGACACTTGCACATAAAAAAAATACTAGAAAAAAAAACCCACTGATCTCGGCTCTGTAAACGAAAAAACGCAACAGCGGCCTGGCTTCGATTTTGGGGCAGTTTCCCCCCTTCACTGACACTTTATACTCCGTGGGCCCGCTGTTTTTCCGCCGTATTTTCCTCGCTTTTAGATTTTTTGACCGCCGCGATCTGTTTCCCGTTTTCTTCCTCCGTTTTGGCCGGCCATGTTGAACCTAGAGATGCTAAAACGTCGATGCTCGAGCATCGATAGTTTTCTTAACGATGTTTTCTAATGTTTATGTTATCGAAGTTAAGCGATGCATCGATGTTTTGAATGCCAACGGTCACCGGGAGATGAACTTCGCTAAATCGGAAGAAGGTGATGGTTCGGTTTATGGGCGAGAGAGGGGTCGGTGGGAGAGAGTGGAGCCGGCTGTCGGGAGATGAACTCCGCTAAATTGGAAGGAATCGATGTTTATGTTTGTTGATGGGCGAGGGGGCGGTGGGAGAGTGGAGGCGGCTTTCCAAATGTCAACATTGAGAACGACAAGTGAGGATCGTACTCTCCCGCTCTTGGGTTCGGACTTTTAGAGCGAGACCAAGCCAGTAACGGCACTTTATACGAAATAAAAAAATATACAAGGAGAAAATAAGAAAATACGAGCGGCGAAATCACGAAAATATGGGGATATGAAAAATAAGAAAATGTGTTTGTTTCAACTCACTCGTTACATGGGTTGTGGCTGCAAACGGCGAATTAGTAAACGAAAACGTACGAAAATAACATTCTTATTGAACAACGATTGAGAGCCGAGAACAGAAAATTAAATATGGCGGACACTTGCACATAAAAAAAAATACAAAAAAAAACCCACTGATCTCGGCTCTGTAAACGAAAAAACGCAACAGCGGCTTGGCTTCGATTTTGGGGCAGTTTCCCCCTTCACTGACACTTTATACTCCGTGGGCCCGCTGTTTTTCCGCCGTATTTTCCTCGCTTTTAGATTTTTTGACCGCCGCGATCTGTTTCCCGTTTTCTTCCTCCGTTTTGGCCGGCCATGTTGAACCTAGAGATGCTAAAACGTCGATGCTCGAGCATCGATAGTTTTCTTAACGATGTTTTCTAATGTTTATGTTATCGAAGTTAAGCGATGCATCGATGTTTTGAATGCCAACGGTCACCGGGAGATGAACTTCGCTAAATCGGAAGAAGGTGATGGTTCGGTTTATGGCTGAGAGAGGGGTCGGTGGGAGAGAGTGGAGCCGGCTGTCGGGAGATGAACTCCGCTAAATTGGAAGGAATCGATGTTTATGTTTGTTGATGGGCGAGGGGGCGGTGGGAGAGTGGAGGCGGCTTTCCAAATGTCAACATTGAGAACGACAAGTGAGGATCGTACTCTCCCGCTCTTGGGTTCGGACTTTTAGAGCGAGACCAAGCCAGTAACGGCACTTTATACGAAATAAAAAAATATACAAGGAGAAAATAAGAAAATACGAGCGGCGAAATCAGGAAAATAGGAGGATATGGAATATAAGAAAATGTGTTTGTTTCAACTCACTCGTTACATGGTTGTGGCTGCAGGCTCCCCAGGGCGAATTAGTAAACGAAAACGAACGAAAACGCATTCTTATTGGGCAACGATTGAGAGCCGAGAACAGAGAATTAAATATGGCGGACACTTGCACATAAAAAAAATAACCAAAAAAACCGCACTGATCTCGGCTCTGTAAACCAAAAAACGCAACAGCGGCCCGGCTTCGATTTTGGGGCAGTTGCCCCCACTTCACTCTCACTTTTTACTCCGTGGGCCCGCTGTTTTTCCGCCGTATTTTCCTCGCTTTTAGATTTTTTGACCGCCGCGATCCGTTTTCCCGTTTTTTTCCTCCGTTTTGGCCGGCCATGTTGAAGTTAGTGATGGTGAAACATCGATGCATCGAGCATCGATAGTTTTCTTAACGATGTTTTCTGATATTTATGTTGATATCGATGTTAAGCGGTGCATCGATGTTTTGATTGCCAACGGTCACCGGGAGATAAACTTTGCTAAATTAGAAGAAGGCGCTGGCTGGTTAGGTTTGTTTTCGAGAGAGGGGGCGGTGTGCAAGAGCGAATACGGTGTGAGAAAATGGATGCAGTGAGCGATTGCGGACACGGATGGATAGAGTGGATCGGTGGGTGAGAGAAGTGTCGAGAGGGATGGTGAGCGGGTAATCAGAGAGGTGTCGTGAGATAGGGCGGTAGGTGAAAGAGGGGGTAGTCGGTGAGCTGGGAAAGGGGCGAGGAGAGGAGCGTCCAATTTCGACCAGGAAATGTTACGTATCCGCCTAGTGGAACCTACACAGATTCATTTTTTTACTCTTTCAGGGTATTATAATTTAATTTGAAGCTTGTAACTGTGTAAAGGAGTCATTCCCGACCCTATAAACTATATATATTCTTGATCAGCATGATCTGCCGAGTTAATTTAGCTATGTCCGAACCAAAATTAATTTTCTCAAAATTCTTAAAATTTTATAAGGGGTTACATTGTTAAAATTTTCAAAAATTGTTATTTTTTTTCGAAAACAAGCACAGGAAAGCTTTCCGAATTGAAATTACTTAAATTTTAGCTTAGTTATGATATTTGGAACATTTTGATTTACCCATAAAATATCTAGAAATACCTATTTTACCAGAATCAGTTGCAGTTTCTCCTTAAGGTTGAGTTTAATAGATTTTTCTTGGGCTTCTAATATATCCTGCTAATATCTTCTATATTTTTCAAGCTCTTTTCCTCGGGTTTTTCTGTTCTCTTTTTCATGAAGTGATTTTTGTGAGGCAACACTATCCAAAAGAAGAAACACTTTGCCATCAATTCGGTTGTTTGTTTTTCATTCTTTGTTTCCCGCCCCCCATGTTTTTTATTTTGTCTATTTTCCCTTTTTTCCGGCTGCATGTTGCAGCAGCTGCAACAAGAGCTGTGGGTAGATAGAATTTACAAGTGAAAAATGAAGCCAACAGGATACCACGTTGCAGGATGGGCAGAAAAGAAGGCAAAAGTGAGGCGTAAATCCAAATGACCCAAAAAATGGGCACAGGATGCGAGGCTGGGGCTTAACTGGGCCTTTAAAAAATCAAATATATATTGCATATCCGCGGGCGCTGGGCTCACGCAATTTACACGCACATCTGACCGAACATCCTCCAAAAGGCACAGTCGTAACCATAACCTCCGTATGCTCATGCTAGTCGTGCTCCTAGGGGCTGTCCTGCTCCTGCTCCTCCTCCTGCTCCTCCTCAAGCTCCTCCTCCTGCTCCTGCTCCTTTTCCTCTTCCTTGGCTCCTGGCCGCAGGAAAAACATCGCTCGCAAAGCGATTTCATTGCCTACTTAGCGGCCCACGCTGCGAGTTATTCAAATTTGAATTAGGCAGGGCCACCATTTTATGGCACTCACTGTCTTGTCTGTCCCAAAAAATATATATGTATGGTATATGCAGCATCTGCGTGGCATGGAAGGAAAACTTGCGGCATTAAATGTGTGGCACATGTGTGACGGGAGCGAACAGCGAACGGTGAGCGCTCCTTAATTAGATCATAGTTCCCATCTTGGTGCAGGGCAGCGTTTTACTGCCGGCACACAGGAGCACACAGGAGCCACAGGACCCACAGAACATAGCTGAACAAAACAGAGGAGAACAGAACAGAACACCATCAATGTCAGACTCCATGCCCCCTGCCATCATCATCATCATCATCATCTTGAAGGCACATGGCACATGGAACGCACTGTGGGTCACCAGAGGGGTTTCCTTAGTCAAAAGGTTTGAATAGGGGACATATATCTTAGGGAAAAAGTTGAAATCATTTATTGATTGTTGCTTAATTATGATTTAATTGCAACAATTAATGAAAAAAGGATCTTATTTAAAGGTTTACAGATCGAAATTATAAAAAAACTATTCCATAAATATTATATCTTTTCTCCCAATTGAAATATATTAAAAATATAAAAATATATATAAAAATATATACAAAATATATACAAATATATAAAAATATATAAATATATTTATGTAGTTTATTTTTATATAAATATATTTGAAATATTTAATGCAAAAAGGTATCATATTTGGGATTTATAGATCGAAAGTGTTCAAAACTATTCAATAAAAAATATATCTTTTCTCTCAATTGAAATATATACAAAATATATGATACATAATATAGTTCATATACCAAATATATCATTAAATTATACCCATTTTACTTGATTTTGCCCCACTGTTCCTTCCATAGAGAAAGAGAGAGAATTGTGGGCACATTATTGACTCACGACGATGCGCCGCATCGAATTTCCAACTCAATCATTGGGGGGCGGGTGGTGCGGTGGAAAAGCCTGTGGGGAAAGCCCAACTAGAACTGGGGATGAGGGAAAACTTTCCCTCTGCTTTATGAAGGGAAACTCACGCGATGCCAACGTTTACGGTATTTGCATTTTAATTGAATTGAACTAAATTATTTTGTTTAGAGTCGAAAGGAATTGCCATCTTCCTTCGTCCTTCGGCTCCTCCTGCTCCTGCAACAGTTTTTCGCCAAAATGTAAAAGCCACAAGCCGCTAAAAAGTTGAAACTTGGCAAAACTTTGGACAGGAGATTTCGCTGGGTTAACGAAAACTTGCCATAATGGCTTGGGGTTTCCTCTATGATGATGGGCGAAAGCGAAATCGAGACTGAAGCTCAAAATTCAGAGTCCTTGAGCCTTGATTTTATGGGAATTCTTTGGTATTTATATTCATGCTGGTATCAATGATCCCTTTCAGATGAGTTCTGTGAGGAGTATCCGCACAATCTGATGCCCACGCCTGGCTATTGGATTGAGTGCTCCCGCCAGAAGATCACCATGCCCACACCGCACACCATTTGGGATGAGAGCGACTCGGAGCATGAGGACATTAGGGCGGGCAGTGCCAGTGATGCGTACTTGGAGCGCGAATGCAGTGATCTCTACGAGGACGATGAGGACTCTGAGGCAACACCCAGGTGGGATTAGTTAGCTCACTGTTTTCTTTATTGTTTATAATAATATCTCTTTGTATTTAGTCCACGGAAAAAGACAACCATTGAGGAGCAATGGGACCAGCAGGGCGCCTTTGAACTCATCTCTGTGGAGCAGGAGACATACGAGAAGTATTTCTATGGCACTGAGCATTGGAATTATTTCACCAGCGATGAGGATCTGGGTCCGGTCATTCTGTCCATCAAGCAGGAGACGCTCAATGGACGGGATCAGTTCCGCATCCTAGTGAGAGCTGGATCCTATACAGTGCATGGACTGATACCGGCGTCCTGTGTGTTTGCCGATAGGTGAGATTTTTAATTAGGATTACTATTACTATATACCAATTACTATATACCTTTCGTTACCAGATATAATCGCGAGGAGGTAGTTAGATCTTTAGGTAAAGAAGTTAATTTAAATCCACCTTTAACGTTAGGACAATTACCCGACACGCCAGAGGAATTATTAAAATTAGATCAGGTTTGTATCCCAGAAAAATATATAACTTCTGAGTAAGATTTATATATAAACTGGACTCCCTTTAGGTTTTTATAAAATCAGAATTAAAAGTTGGCGTCATATTTGTCAAAGAGGATCAATATACCGAAGAGCAAATTCTGGACAATAATGAAAATTCACCGCTCTTCGATGAGTTCCTCACTCTGCTGGGCGATCGAGTCCGATTGCGTGGCTTTGATAAATACAAAGGTGGCCTTGACACGGTGCATGACCTTACAGGTATTGATTAATACATATATAATATTTGATATATGATACTATATACTATATACTATATAACCTTGTAGGTCTCTTCTCTGTGTACACAAACTGGCGCAACATTGAGATCATGTTCCATGTGTCCACATTGCTGCCGTATGAGAAGCATGATCCGCAGAAGTTGCAACGGAAACGCCACATTGGCAATGATATTGTGTGTGTGGTGTTCCTGGAGGCGGATAATACTCGGTTTAGTCCTGCCTGCATCAAGAGTCACTTCCTGCACACGTTTATCCTGGTGAGTTTTGAGTCCTTTCTGACTATCTCTGTTTATAGAGCTTCTGGTTATTCATTATTCATTAATAAACTATAATTTCTATTATATTCAATCATTATCTATCATTTTCTTTATTTAATCCTTATCTACAGGTCCGTGTTTCGGCCAGGATCAAGCACAAACCCACGCGATACGAGGTATCCGTGGTGACCAGAGATGAGGTGGGCGCCTATAAGCCCTACCTATGGGAGCAGTCCGTGTTCGAAAAGGGACCCATGTTCAGGTGAGTGATCAGTATAATAAAATCCCCCTGGTTCCCCCAACTGATCCCCCGCTCTCCAGGGAGTGGCTGCTAACAAAGATTGTCAATGGAGAGAGGGCGTCGTATTCGGCACCAAATTCGCTAGGATGCAGGAGCGTACACGGTCACAGATGCTCGAGGATCTGGTGATGAATCTATCGAATCATGCTGAAACTGGACAGATACCGAAGCCCTATCGTCGTGGCAGTTGGCGACCGATCGGTGAGGATGAATATTTCAAAATGTTGCATGCCCGTGTCCTAGACAACAACACACACCACGAACAGCAGCAGCAGCAGCAGCATCTGCATCTGCAACAGCAGCAGCAGCAGCAACATTATGGAGCCATTTGCAGCTATTGCAATGGCAACACTCACGAGATGACGAGCAATAACAACAATCACTACAACAACAACAACACATTCAACAACAACACCACACACAGACACACCAACGACAACAACAATCACTTTGAACAACAACAGCAGCAACATTCGCAGCTGGAACAGCAACAGCAACTGCAACTGCAACACTCGACATCATCACTCACACACACGTCGTGTTGTGCCATGTTGCACCTGTGTGTGAGGCATAGTATGTGGGCCGAAAAAAAAAAAACAAAAATCACTACCCCACACACCCTCTCTTGCCCCGCATGTCATGCCTGTCTTTAAAGTTTAACAATATTTTTGATTAGACAAATGCATAAGCAAAGCTCACAAAAAAAAACTAGGAATAGAGCACTCTTTCATTAATAAAAAATATTTAAATTATTCGGCTTACACTCTTGTCAAAACGATATCCATTGGGATATCCTTTAAATGAGATCCTTCTTCTTTGCCGCTTTCCACAACTTTGCACTTCTCCTTTCTTGAGGCTTTAAAGCCCATCATTTTGACTTAACATGGCCAGGGACCTTAAGGAGATTTATAAACAATTCGCGACAACAAATTGCCGACATTACTGTGACCCTAAAAAAAGGAAGGAAAAAATATATACAATATAAGAAAGGAAGAGAGAAATTGTGAAGACATTTGCATTTGGCGCGCGCTTCTTTTGTGCGAATGCCAGTACGAGTATGTTTGATTAATCGTTTTGTCTTGCTTTCGGTTGAACTTTCACCATACACCAAAAAAAAGAAGAAACCGCCCCCCGACATACACACATACACACTGACACACTGACACTTCCGCTTCCGCCATTAACACATCCGGCTGTGTTTGTGCCCACCGGAAACGTGCCTCATGTCACACAATCCCTCGCTCACAGACAAACAGTCGCAGGCAAGGACAATCTGCTCTTCCTTTACACACAGCCATGCTTAGCTTTTATTTATACACTGACAAAAACAAATAGCATTTAAAATTAGACTTTTGACTAGGCAAAGCCATGCCAACATTCAAATACTTTACAAATATTTTGTGACTTTAGGAAAATCATTTCTTTTAAGAAATTAATACAAGAAAAATAAGGTTTTTGTATATAATATATATGATTTATGTACATAAATATTCTCTCTGTGTACATTGTCCATTGTCCGGCTAAGAAATATGGTTCATGTTTGTATAATTTTATCAGTGGAAGGAAATCTATTGTTGCCACCCCGCACACACACACACACACACACACACTACACCCACTTCATACACCACACCACCATACCACCCCCCTCCCCCACACACACACACACGGCTGCTGTTCGTTCGTTCGTTTGTTGTTGTTTGATGGTGTCGTTGGTGCTTGTTGTGATTTTGTTTAGATTTCTTGTTATTTATTTGTTGCTATTTGTTGCATTAGACAACACACAAATCTAATTTGATTTATTCACTCGCACACATACACACACACTCGCACACACACACACACACTCAAGGACTGAAAGAAAAGGTTGAGTCTAAGGAAATTGAAGTGATCCCCAAGAGGAAGAGACCCCAGCCACCAAAACTATGCATATTAAAGTTATGCAAATACCAGCTTCAATATATATGTAGTTCTTTCCACTCAATGCATAAATTCCAGGCTCTATTTTATAGTATATATATATATAATATATGCTGTCATAGAGTTAACTCAATTACCTTTGCCCATTGAAGATATTGCTGTGGGAATTTAGTATTCAATTGCCATTTATGGCAGTCAGTTTTCTAGTTTTTCTATTTAACTATTTCTTTTGAAAGTATTTCCCAATACTAAGCCTTTTTTCATTTATTTAAACTAAAATAAAGCTTATTTAGTAAAGTTAAAGTACATTTTCATACAAATAAAAGCATTTAAGAGATTTCTTCTTGTTTATATATGTTTCTAAGCTGGCTTTAATCATTTTGCTTTATACATTTTAAGTTGCATAAATATATTTATTGTGTTTTGTCATTGAGTTATTTATGGTCTTTACCTTCCTTTCTCTATAGTTAGATATTATTTGGCCTTGTTCTAGCCTTTTTCCAGCAAATCTTTAGAGCCTGGCGAAGCTGCTAAGTTGCCCAGATCGATGGCAGTCCAAAAGCAAAGCTAAATAGATGCAAATACCACCCACAAAATATAAAAAATATTTATACAAAAACTGCGGTGAGCTGCAATGGCTTCAAAATCAAAAATCAATAGAAAGAAAAAGAAAAATCTAATTAGGAGGGTTAATCATTTACAGATTCAAGATTTCAATCCCAATTGGTTTCCTTCGTTGACAAAAGTCTCCTTTTCCAAATTCATGCCCTTAGAAAAATGTTGTACAAATTTTATATAGTTTGTGTGCTTGAATGATTATCCTCTGAACAAACTGAAACACCTGAAACACAAGACCTTTGTAAATTACTAATACTTCTATCATTTAGAGAGACTTCTAGCAAATATATTTATATATATATAATTATATATACACGCATGCATAGATCTTTTAAAGACGTTTCTTTCAGCGATAAAACACACACACACAAAAGTGTACCTTCTCCAATATTAAACATTTAAACATATTAGATAGACTTTTGGGTTAGATCCCCCGAATGACCCAAACATTCCAACCGCCCGTTTATCCACAGGCCACATGAGACCCTCATCGCCGCTGCTCGACTCTGTCCGGGATCAGTTCGAGGATTACGACCAGCTGGCCAAGGACTTTACCCGCGTATTCCTCAACGAAGAACCATCGTGCCTGACCAATGCCCATCTCTTTGACGTTGTCTTCCTGGTGGGTCAGTCCAAACAAAAGGCGCGATTCATTGGTGTCCGGGCGATACTCGGAGTCCGGAGCAGGGTCTTTCAGGTGAGAGCGAGAGTGATAAATAAGTTTAAAATAATATATATTAAATAAAGTAAAGAGACAAGACTAAAAACAGAAAGTAAATCCTACCAAAAATACCCAAAACTTGCATAAACCTAATAAAAAGAAGCACATTAATAAATGAATAAATTAAATTAAACATACTTTTTCATCATTTAATATATTGCATTATGGCAACAGTGCGTATACGTTATGTTTATAACAAAATCACGTATACGCACTGTTGTCTTTTGATATAACACACTTAAATCTTTATAAATCAGACAAAACTCGTTGAAAAGCATTAAATTATACTTGCTCATAAATTAAATAATTCCATTCGGACAACGGTGCGTATACTTTATTCATTTACCAAAATCACGTATACGCACTGTTGTCTTTTGATTTAACACACTTAAATCTGTATAAATCGAACAAAAATCTTTGGAAAATATTAAATATTGTTAGAAAATGTGTCTTTTATGAGAAATAAGTATTAATTAACTATTTTACTCCCTTAAATAGATCCTTTGTCTTAAAGAGCGATGAAAGTACACGAAATTAAATATAAAAAAATATCCCAAACTAGCCATAAACTTTGTAAAACTAATCAAATTTCTAAGAAATATTTAATTTTACAAGTTGAATTTATAATTTTTAAGTTAGTTATAAAAATGTTTTAAAAACCTCCTAAAAAGAATTCAAAAAAATATAAGAAATACCCCATACTTTTTACAGGAAATGCTATATGGCATTCAGACCGGCTTCGGATCACCACAGATCCCTGTTGCCGAGATCTTTGCCCGTCCCGCCCCCTCACTTGTGTCACCGCAGAATCAGAAACCGAAGAGCAACAATTACCTGACCGTTCCCGACTCGGACTCCATAAGGCCAAAGAGTGTGCCATCGTCGCCGATGGTGAAGCGGGCCTTCTCCCGGCTGGCACCATCACGGCGGGCTGGGGTCGGTCCATAAGGAACAAGAACACGAATCAACTGAATCCGGATGACAAGAAGAAGTGGATTTCGTCCACGGACTGTTCGAGTAAGGGTTTTCAGTCGGTGCAATGCAACCATATCGATGCGTGTCTCTTTTCTCCGCTCTCTCTCTCTTTTCTCTCCACACGCTGTCACTCTCTCTCTCTCTCTCGATCTCTCTCTCTGTCTGTATATCTCTGTCTCCGAAATCTCTTGCTCTCTGCTGTGCGATTTGTCTTGAATTTTCCTGTGCCCCAAAACACATATATATTATGTATACGTCCGCCATACGCCGTGACCTGTGATATCTCTCCTGATCTCCTGATCCCTGATAATCCTGTACCCTGACTCCTGTACCCCTCTGTAAATTACTCGTACTAAACTTACTAAACTAACTAATGTTAATAATACTACCTGCAACGCACGCCGCACATCTTTGCCTAAGAAAAATTACAATTTTTTATCAATTTAAAACAAATACCCCATGAATATTGTAATTGCGAACGAAAACATCACAAAATTCTTTCCTGTCGTTGTTTAATTTGTTCCTTTTATGTTGTATTTACTTTCGTTATTTATTATTAAATAACCTTGGTTCAACGCTTCCAATATTTTGGACGTGGTTCTTTGACAATTTTTGCATACTTGTTTGATTTCCAATGCACTTGAAACAACATGATCATATTAATGCTTTGCCTTTTGATTTACTGCCTAAAATATCGTGCCATGTCTTTCATTTTGAGCTGATATTAAATTCTTCACATAATTATTGGTTATTAATAAATATTTTCCCTTAAAAAAATCACATTTAACCATGAAACTCGCCACTATTCACCTCTTCTCACCACCGAAACTGCTTGCATTTTACTGTTCTGCGAATATTCTTACCATTGGATTCAAACTCACCACACTGTTTTGCTCTTTCTCTCTCTCTCTCTTTCTCTCTTTCTTGGCCTATGTCTTTCTCTTTCTGTCATGTCACATTCGTTTGTTATCGTTCTCTGTTCCTCTCCATCTTTGTCTCTTCTCTCTCTTTTCGGCTCTTCTGTTTGATTCTACAAAATATCTTCAAAAACGAACAAACTAATTTGAAATTAAACAACAAACAAAATCTTATCATTCTCTCATCTCACCTGACTCGCCACCGCCCACTGCCACTCGCCCCCACACCAAAAAAAATAAAATAAATAACAACATAAAAAAAAATTTGTTTTGATTTAATTTTACCAACTGACAAATGATTTAATTTTATAATTTGCGGTTTTTGCTTTGCTATCGAATTATTGTTATCGTTCTCGTTATTTTTTCGACAACTGCCACCGACTGTTACTGCTACTACCGATAACTGAAAACTGAAAACCGATAAACGACAACCGATAACCAATCCCAACCACCACCTTGCGCGCACCACTTTCCCCAAAACAAAAAAAAAAAAAAAAAAAATGGCGATTGCAGACAGGGACAGCAAGGACAAGGACAAGGATAAGCCGGGCAGCAACCAGCTGGCCGTGCCCCGGCTCTCCGTTTGCGCCGATGCCCAGAAAGTGGACCGGGCCAAGCTTGCCCAGACCGAATTCAACATTATTGAGTTCGATCCGGATACGTTTCGAGTGCTGCTGGATTACCTGCACACGGGCACCTGTCCGCTCACCTGCGTCTCCATACCAGGTAATCATTTTCTACAAGTAAAATATATTCCTCCCGATCAAAGACACTGGAATCCATCGGTTACCACTTGCTGAATCGGGAATGCATGCCGGGGAATACTTCCTCCATCACTTCCTCTTTCACTTTCACTTTCACTCGTCTCTCGTCTCTCTTTCTCTCAGGACTCCTTTGCGCCGCGGAGCACTACGATTTGCCGGAACTGCTGCAGGCATGCTTCCATCACTGCAAACAATTCCTACGCATCGAGGTCGTATGCCCGATGCTCATCTCGCTGGAGAACTACTACTGGCGCTACACATCCGCCTCCGAGCTGGTCAACATGATACTGTCGTTCGTGGAGAGCAAGGCGCATGCGCTGTTCAAGTGCCCGGAATTCCTGCATCTGTCCGAATCGATGGTCCAGATGATCATGTGCCGCGAACTGCAAACGCCGGAGATACGCAAATTCGAGGCGATGCTGGCCTGGGCACAGCACAAGGTGGGCAAGCTGAAGAATCATCCGAACAAGGATACACAGTTTGAGTTCGAGTGCATCATGGAGCGGCTGACGCGCGATCTCAATTTGTGCCGCATATCGCCCAGTGAGCTGCTCACCGTCGTCCTGCCCTCCAAATCGATGAAGAACGAACGCATCATGGAGACGCTCATGGTTCAGGTGAATCTCGGCACCTATCGGATGCCCGAGCTGGATGCGTACCGTCAGCAGTTGCGCCAGCAGGAGTCCGCCGAGGCCACCGTCCAGGTTCACCGGGGTGGATGAGACAGTAAGAATGTGAGTTTCGATTTGGACCAGCAGCAGCAGCAGCACTCCCAGCAATCGGATTCGGAGGCAGCCACACAGATAACAGCTCCATCCCAAGCCTACTCCACCACCGCCTCCGCCTCTGCCTCAGCCGCCGATCCACCAGCCATTGATGCCCGCAGCGATGCCCGTGCCTATGCCATGGCCTCCTTGGCCGCCGCCCTCGAGATGCAACAGCAGCAGGAGCAGATCCAGGCGCATCCCTCCAGCTCCAGTTCAGCGTATGCCCGCGATGCCGCCGACGAGGAGGTGGAGCTATATGCCAGCTTTGACAACACACCGAGCACCAGCCGGGTGGCCGCCCAGATGCAGGCCGCCAAGGAGGCGCGCCGGAAGCGATGGCAGGCGGATGGTGCCAGCGGCAGCAGCGGGGACGGCGGCTGCGCCAGCGGCAGTAGCGGCAGCGGGCGGCGATACTAAGCGGGATGGGAGCGGAAGTGCCGCAGATAGCCAGAGATATGTAGCCCGAGCATGGAGTAGGTGGTCACAGGGTATAGGGTATAGGTCACAGACTCAGATCAATCAATTTTGTATTATCATATATATTTTATGTTATTTTATTCTATTCATATATTTAAAATTTTCTGTATTACTTTAATGTTATAGGTCACAGACTCAGTTCAATCAATTTTGTATTATATATTTTATGTTATTTTATTCTATTCATATATTTAAAATTTTCGGTATTACTTTTATGTTGATAGTTAGGATGGTTGATTATATTATGTTTCTCTCTATTTTATTATTACATTATCAGGTTCTTTTTTATTTGTAATCTCTTTGCTTTATTATTTAAATTTTTTATATTTATACTTTATTATTTTCTTGTTTAAGCATTTTACTAAGTTTACCAAAATAGTTCACAAATTGTAAATATATAAATATATATAGAGGGGGAAAATGTGGCACTTGCTCAATGTTTCGGGAAAGTGTGAATGAGGGAAGTGCAAGTGCTGTCCAAGTGGTTCCTATTTGCTTATAACAAGTTCATTTTTGTTATATTTAATTAGAAATCCATAATTTTAAATTTCAACTTTAATATATATTTTATAACTATTTGCAAATATTTAAAAACATATTATTTCAAAGGTTACATATCTTAAATAACCATGAACTATAACATATATTTTAAAATTCATTATTTCAAAGCTGAATTGCTTTTTAAATTTTACTCTTTAAATGGAAATTAATTTAAGAACCTGGGCTACTTGGCAGCACTGGAAGGATATCCTTGTATACGTTGTATTTAATCCTGAGCTACTGATGTCCTTGATGAAACTCGTAAATGATTGAAGATGTTAAAAAGATGCATTTTGGGCTTAAGGACACTCATTATTTTTTTGTAGAACAAGATGATATATGGGATATATAAGGATATATGTGTGTGAGTGTGTGTTTTTTTTTACAAAATCCCACCGTTCAAGGAGGCGCCCGAACCATCCAAATCGAAACTGACATTGTTAACTCTTACATTCACCCCGCGCAAATGACAAAAGGAGAGTGCGGAAGGAGACGGCGGCTCCCAAATGAAAAAAAATATATACATATATAAAGACACCACCACCCCCTCCCGCCCCCCTCTACAGCGGAAAAGGACTCCTCCGAATGATCCTACCATGCATAAACAATAAGCATTTTCTACCGAATATTATGTGTGTTTGAAGAAGATCAGGGGACTAGTCTGCTAGGGATTCCAATTTTTTTGAAGCTAGTGCAGCCTGGCGAAGAGGAAGGAATACAAAAAACAAAAAAAAAAACAAAAACAAACGCTTACTGATGTAAAACAAAGACTTAAACTAAAAACATACAAAAAAAAATATGTAAACAACAAAAAAAGACATATATATATATATATATATACCAAAGTGAACCTAAAGTATAAAGAATTTTTTTAAATCAATGTTATTGAACCAAAAAGTGTAAGCAGATCCAAGAGCTCCTCCTCTTGAGCCCCAAAAATAACAACAAATACTATATATTATATATAACTGAATGTTTATGAGAATTTGCAACCAAAATCTAACTGTTTGAATGGCTGCCTGTTTTATGTTTGTTCTGTTTCTGTTTTTTGTTAAACTAAAAAAAAGAAACAAAGAGAGAATTAATATTATGCATAAGTATCTACGTTTTAATACCAAAAGCTAAAGTAAAAGAAGCTCGGGCTTGCCTTCCCTGTACATTATATAGAAATGAAATCTGAAGTGTCTAAATGTTTGAGTGTATATTCCCATAAACGTTCTGAACCCAAAAATAAGAAATAAAAATCAAAGAATCAATATAAAAACCAGTGGCACATGAAATTCCCATAGATTGGAAACCAAGAAGCCCCAGAACACCTGAAGGAATTTTCCAAACAAAACCGACAGAACATACATATATAGCCCTAGAAATATGATTAATCTATAGATAACTCCAAAGAAAAGAAGCCCAGAGAAAAACACACAGAAAACCCACAAAAGAAACCCTTAATGTGAGCCAGTGTGCCCGCACATCTATCAGTGTCCTTTCAGTAGAGTACAGTTGAAACAAAAGCAGTTGATCTACCTTCTCCCTCACGCAGGCATCAAGAACTATGCAGTTATTCTATTTTTTCAAACTTATTTCTTTTATAAAATATAGTTTATCATTTGCAATTAAATCAGAGAAATAGAATCTAAAACAAACAAAAATGAAGCAAAAACAAAATAACTAAATGTAAACGGCAGCATTTCCAAAAGGGTTTCACATAAATGTTCAAAAAACGGCCTCCATACCATATATCAAAGGAAATTTTCAATGTCTAACTGTACAAGCAAAGTTTATCAAAGTGTCTATAACAGGATGGGGCAGATCGGTAAATACATATAGTACATATAAGAACAAAGAACCGTGCTTGAAACGCGACTAAATCTAAGCAATTTAAAAAATAAACCCCATAACAAAAAGAATTCCAAAGAAAGGAACAAGAAATGTGACCCATATAATCAGCAATAACTAAAGTAAATGCTTTTAATGTGCAAAAATAAATCGAATTAAGGCGAATATTCATGTTGAAAAACAATCTGAAACTGTGTACAGACTTGTTCAAATTTTGATGACTGGTTTAAAGCAAAAATAAAAAAATTAGCTAACAAAATAGAAAAGCAGCAAAAACGATCTAAAAATCTTGAGAATAAAAACGTAAGAATGTGGAAAAATGAAATCTCTGGCGATTTGAAAATATTTGAAAATCAGCTGAAGCAACATATACAGAAAAGATATAGCTCGAGATTTCAAAAACGTAAACTCTTTGAAATATTTTGAAACTGAAGGAAAATATACAAAATAATACAGAGCTGATGAATTTTTTATTTGTTTGGTTAATTAAATAGATTAACCAGCAAAAAATGAATAGTTTAAAGGTTCACCCATAGATAGCTATATTTTTACCGTCGCTCTACCGACTCCAACCTACTGTTCGAACTGAATGTAATCTGATTAATATAAATGTGTATTTACCGCAGATATATACATACTTGACATACATATATGTAAATCTCTGGCATACCAGCGACAAAAAGGTGGGGCGTTTCTATATGTTTGCTCCGTACTTTAATCAATGCGGCCAAAAAATAAATAAATAAATAAAAATCTCGGGTTTTCCGAGGCTCTGTTTTTTGATAATAAATAAAAACCCTAAAAACGAAGAAAATCGAAAACCAATATCTGTAATAACTTATGCAAAACTCAATGTAAAGCCGTGACTCCTTTTGAGCTGATCTAAAACATGTCAAAACATAAGAACAAAAACAAAAACCCAAAAAGACGTTTGTTTAATTGGAAAAAAACTCAATTGAAAGCAGAATAAAGCTAAATAAATGTTGTAATTTCCAGGGCCAAGCAAAACAAAATAAAAAATGAAATAAAAAAATATTATAGTAAACAAAAATAAAAAATACCACAGAATTAGAAATATTTAATTTATGGAGTTTGGTAACAGAAATATTTCTACTAAAGGTAAGTTTATAAATAATATATATTTTTGACAAAAGAAATCTACTTCTTTTAATATTTATGTTGTATTTTTTAAGGTGCCTGTACATTCCAGGAAAAGCGTGATAAAATATCGAGAAGATACAGCCCAGGGCCCAAAATAAAACACGCTTTTGAATTGAATTTGAATTTTTTGCTTGATTTTTTTTTTTTTTTGCCGGCGCTTACATAATAAATTAAACATTTATAATAATCAGTACAATAATTCCATTGTTAATGTTTGTTGTTTATTGTTGTATTTGTTGTTTTGTCGGTGTTCCTTGATGAAATCTGTATAGATTATAAACTAAAACAAATTGCAAACAGCAAATGCAACGAGTGCTTGCACTTCACCCTCTCTCCTCCAATCATCTCTCTATATACAAAGCTACAAAAAACAAAAAAAAATCAATTGAATTTATTATTATTTCGCGTTCCCCCTTCGATTTAGCTATTATTTAGGGTTAACTTTTGGTTACAGGAGCGAATACAGCGGATACAGAGACGGATGCGGATACAGATACATAGATACATAGATACAGATACAGCACAGACAGCAGATATGAGAGCAAAAGAGGGAAATAGAAAATGAGTAAAGGAGAAAAAGGGAGCGAGAACTGGAGAACTGAATTGCTTTCAACTATTGCACTATTATATTATTATCGGATGTGTATATATATATGCATTATATATATATATATATATATAGAACCCTACAGATACACGTATGTATCCCTATGTACAGTTGGAGCCTGAAGTATCTGACTTTATTGAACACTTTCCATTGCCGCTGTCATCAGTCACCACCGCGCCAGGTCTGATAGCTCGCTCTGGTTGATGCCCCTCCTCGTGGCCATGCTTGCTCCACATCCGCCGTATATAAGCTCGCATACGAGCCACTTGCCGAGCACGATCGTCGACCTAGAGCTAACCTATTCCGATTGAGCCTGGCCTCACCAAGGTCCGGATAGGCGGGCATTGATATTACCTCGGAAACAGGCCGAGACTCCAGCTCCAGCTCCTCCTCCTCCTCATCCTCCCCCTGATCGTTACGGGCTACGGCGGTGGGCTCATCGTCGAAGCCATACCAACATCACATGACCATGATTTGCAGCGCCACTCATTGATCTATTGTCCGGTAGATGCGTCTCTGTGGCTCGGGTGTATAATGGATGCGGGTGCGAAAGTGTTGCGGTGATCCTGGCACGCTCTCCGAACCGCGACGCGGTGGCGGCAACGGTGGCGAGGCCGAAACGTATCTGAAAGAGACAGAGACAGTGAAGAGGTATGGCATCAGCACGATTCAGAGAGAGAGATAGATAGCGGTCCCACCTTCGGTGCAGCAGCGGCGATCCCCCACTCAGCTCCAACAGATTCTTGCGCAGCAGCAGTGGTGATTGGCCCCGATTATAGCGCGGCGGCGGATCCGGACTGCGGTGCCTTCGATCCAATCCAGCCAATATGTGAGGACTGGGCGGGGTGCTGCTGCTGGCATAGCGTCGCAGGAAGCTACTTGTTCCACCACCGCCGCCGCCACCGCCAGGCAGTGGTTCTGTCGTCGGCGAAGTGCTCTGACTCGTGTTGCTACTGCTGCTGGCCGCCGACAAGGTGCGATAGTAATAGGACTTGCTATTGCCACCATTGTTCACAATGCTCCTATACGCCGGCGGCTGGGGCGGTTGCAGTGGATGAGGCTGATGCTGATGCACACCACCACCACCACCACCACCGGCTGGCTCCTGCTCCTGCTGATCCAGGCTGGCTGTGGAATTCAATTGGGTTTTAACATAGGTGGCAAACTGCCGCTTCATGGCGCCGGCGAGTGTGTGGAACCAGCCTGTGTGTTCGGTTGGTTGTTTTTAGATGATCAATAGAGTGATGATGAGTGATGATGGTTCGTGATCAGTGCGGAGTGCAGATTGTGTGTGGGTGTGCGGCAAACGAAGAGAGAGAGAGAGCAAGGAACAAAACAAAAAAATGGAAAAATAGAAAAAATGGAAAATGTTTGAGTATAACAAGCAAACGGAAGGTGAAATCAATTCAATATGTGGTAAAACAAGAAAAGCCATTAAGCAAATTGATTCTATTCTATATTCTATATGAATAAAATGCTTTCTAGATCTCCTAGGTTTCTATTCTCACCCGCATCCGGCTGCTCCCTGCTGTATCCATCCAGGCTGCTGCTGCTTGCCCCACTGCTCGAACTTTGACCCAACAACTGGCGACGTGCATAGAGCTTGCCCAGCTTACTGGTATTGCCACCAGCTCCACTATAGTCTGCAGTGGTTTGTAATTGCTCTGGTGATCTGGGCAGGAGTGTGGGACTGGGCAAGGGTTGATACTGCAGCTGCTCGCCATTGCCCACCGAGCCAAAGTGACCAGCTGACACAGCTCCAGCTCCAGGAAGTCCTCCTCCTCCTGGTCCTCCTGCTCCTGAACCTGTCGAAGGCGATAAACTGACTGCTATTTGCGAGCATGTTGACTGCGTGGACGACTGACTAGATGTGGAGTGCGTAGATGGCGGCGGCGCCACATAGTTGCTGTGAAAAGGATTCGTGCTGGTGACTACTACCGGCTGCTGGCGTTGTTGCTGTTGCTGCTGCTGTTGCTGCTGCTGGTACCGCTCGGCGGCCTCCTTTTCGCGCAGTTGGTTTTGTTGATGGTAGAATCGTTGCAGCACTAAAAGATTAAGAGTTTTAAAGTGAGTCTGGAAAGCGTTTTAGCAAGAACTTGAGGGTCTTACCTATGGGACTCTGATTGCCTGGTTGCACGCGAATAGGTTGCTGTTGCTGCTGCTGCTGTTGATGTTGCAGGTTTGGCGGCGACTCTACCTTGCGCTGCATCAATGGTGAGGGTGTGACAAGGCCCAGATTGAGGTTGAGGTTCAGGTTAAGGGTCTGAGGGGCGCTCGTATTGGCATTAGTACTACTATCACAGCTGTCGTGGGCTACGGACATGCAATCCGAGGCTGGCAGGCGCCATCCTGTCGTGGTCGTTGGTGTTCCAGGTGAAACAGCCTCCTCCGGCGGCAGTGGTATTGTCTTTGCGGCTGCTGCTGCTGCTGCTGCTGACGATGATGATGATGATGATGGTGATGTTAATCCATGGCTGTTGTTGTGTTTCTTTTGGCTAAACGGCGATGTGGTTAGATTGCGTAAAATTGTTTGGCCAATGCTACTGAACATGGACTCCTTTTTGGGGCTCTCATCGTTGTATTTGTAGTGGGAAGAATGATGGCTTCCATTGCTCAGCTTGCGCTGCATGAAGGGCGATTTGCGATAGAACTTATTAAGATCATTGCCCGTTGGCGGTGACAGGGGGCTGGGGCTGCTGCTGCTGCCATTTCCGCTTCCGTTTCCGCCAAAGCAATTGGTAGTTGTTGCTGTTGGTGTCGTTGCTGTCTTCGCTTGAGGTAGTTGTGTGGCTGATTGCATGAAATACTGCGACTGCGATTGCGACTGCTGCTGCTGCTGCTGCTGCTGCTGCTGCTGCTGATGCGACTGCTGCTGGTAACTCGGTATCTGCGAGGGTTTTATTGTCTTCTGTGGATGATTCTGCACCTGTCCCGGCGCCCTGCCATACGGTGTTGCTAGAGATCCGCCACCAGCCGCCGTTGCCCTGGAATCAATGAAGAAGGCATGAGTTTGATTCGAAGGATTTCTTCTGTTTCGATTACCAATTAAATGAGAGAGCACACTCAAATGTACGCCAAAAGGCAGAAAGTAGAAGAGGGGTGTGTGTAGAGGTGTGTGTGGGGGTGTGTATGAGGAGGAGGTGTGTGAATATCCGGGATAGCTGGGAAGGGGACGGGCGAGGGGTACATGTATGTATATATGTACAAAGATTGACAGGCGCCAAGGCAACATATCTAAACACATTTAACTGAGCTCTGTGTGGTTGTGATTTTGTATTTACAATGTATGGTGTGGTGTGTGTGTTTGCTGTGTATGGTGTGTGCTGTGTGGTCAGAGATCAAGCGACAGGAAGAAACAACAATAATAAACAAAAACACTGATAATGCGGCCTTAAATGTACACTTTAAATTAAGAATTATTGAATGCAGTATGATATCCGCCTAAGACACACAGCCAGAGTGAAAGCGAAAGGTGATGAACTGCCCGAGGTCCCTTTTTAAATTGATTTTTTAAATTTATATATAATTTACGATTAGAAAAACAAGAAAGGAAGCTAACTTCGATCAGTAAGTAACTCTGAACAGTAAGTATCTATGATCAGTAAGTCACTATGATCAGTATGTATCAATGAACATTAAGTAACATAATCAGTAATAATCTATGATCAGTAATTAACTATGATCACTAATTAACTATGATCAGTAAGTATCAATAAACATTAAGTAACTATAGACAGTAAATAATTATGATCAGTAAATAACTATGATCACTAATTAACTATGATCAGTAAGTATCTGCGATCAGTCAGAATATATCAGTTACTAACTTTGAACACTTGTAAACAATGACTTGCAACTTTTGTAACACAACACATTTCTGATACTTGGCCAGCAGCAGTCACTTCGTTCCGGGGATGTTAGAACCAGTTGGGAATCATATGCACAGGTGTGCGAGATTTGTTTTGGGGCAAATAAGAGTAAGCTATTTAAATGAAACTATGGAGTTATTCGTCTATATAATTTTACCAGTATATTAATCGGACCATGGCGAATCGGTCGACTATATATTTACATATATATAGCTGCCATAGGAACAATCGGACGATTTATTGAACTATGAGTAGTAAGAACCTATAATTAGCAATTGACTACGAGCAGTAAGTAACTCTGAACAGTAAGTATCTCTGACAACTAATTAAGTATGATCAGTAAGTATCAATAAACATTAAGTAACTCTGAACACTAAGTATCTATTACCAGTAAGTAACTATGATCAGTAAGTATCTGTGATAAGTAAGTATTCATAATCAGCTACTAACTTTGCACACTTGTAAACAATGACTTGCAACTTTTGTAACACAACACATGTCTGAGACTTGGCCGGCAGCAGTCACTTCGTTCCGGGGATGTTTGAACCAGTTGGGAATCATAAACACAGATGTGCGAGATTTGTTTTGGAACAAATTTAAGAGCAAGCTATTTAATGAAACTATGGAGTTATTCGTCTATATAATTTTACCAGTATATTAATCGGACCATGCCGAATCGGTGGCCTATATATAGCTAATATAGGAACAATCAGACGATTTATAGAAATATGATCAGTAATTAACTATGATCACTAATTAACTATAAGCAGTGAGTAACTCTGAGCATTAAGTAACTCTGAATACTAAATATCTATGACAAGTAAGTAAATATGATCAGTAAGTATCTATGGCTAGTAAGTATCTATGCCCAGTAAGTATTTATGATCAGTTACTAACTTTGGACACTTGTAAACAATGACTTGCAACTTTTGTAACACAACACGTATCCGAGACTTGGCTGGTAGAAGACACTTCGTTCCGAGGATGTTTGAACCAGTTGGGAATCATAAGTACAGATGTGCGAGATTTGTTTTGGAACAAATTTAAGTTATTTGAATGAAACTATGGAGTTTTTCTTCTATATAATTTTACTGGTATATAAATCGGGACATGCCGTATCGGTGAACTATATATATACATATATATAGCTGCCATAGGAACAATCGGACGATTTATAGAACTATGATCAGTAAATAACTATGACCAGTAATTAACTACGCTTAGTAAGTTTCTATGAACATTACGTTACTCTGAACAATAAGTATCTATGACCAGCAAGTAACTATGACCAGTGAGTAACTCTGATCAGTAATTAACTCTGAAAAGTAAGTATCTATAATCAGAAGTATCTTTCAACAGTAAGTCTCTTTAGAAAGTACCTTTGACCAGGAAGTATCAATGCAAATTAAGTAACTCAACACTTATTAACTGTGATCAGTAATTAACTTTGATCAGTAGGTTACCTTCGACACTAATTAACTTTGAACACTAATAAACAATGACTTGCAACTTTTGTAACACAACACATATCTGAGACTTGGCCGGTAGCAGTCACTTCGTTCCGGGGATGTGAGAACCTGTTGGGAATCATATGCACAGATGTGCGAGATTTGTTTTGGACAAATTTAAGTTATTTGAATGAAACTATGCAGTTTTTCTTCTATATAATTTTACTGGTATATAAATCGGGACATGCCGAATCGGTGGACTATATATATATATAATTTATATAGCTGCCATAGGAACGATCGGATAATTTTTAAACATAAATATATATATCTGCAATATAAACTTCGGCGTGCCAAAGTTAGCTTCCTTTCTTGTTTTTATGACAAATCAAAACTTAAAGACTCATAATTAAGCTAAAAATTCACTTTTTTCGATTCGGTAAGCAGTTTTGTTCTAGTTTTTATTAGATCAATAAATCTGCATACTCAAATTACATTTTTAAACCATTTAAATTTTCGTCGATTTTTCAGAATGTTAATGATGTAAAAACGGGTTAAAAAATATTGAAAAAAAATTTCAAAACTTTGTTTCTCTGCTTTATGCCTAGAAAGATTCGTCTGTTAGTGCTGATCAAGAATATATATGATTTATGGGGTCGGAAAAGACTCCTTCACTTCGTTTTAAGCTTCTGACTAAAATTAAAATACTATTTTTTAGTCAATATTTTGATATTTATAAATGACAATTTTTTCAACAAATCAATGTTTAAAAAACTCACTACTAAGCTAAAATTGCATTAATTTCGATTCGGAAAGCTGTTCTGTTTTAGTTTTTAAAAGGTTAATAAATCTGCATACTCAAATTACATTTTTAAGCTACTTCAATTTTCATCGATTTTTCAGAATGTTAATGATGTAAAAAACGGCTTAAAAAATATTGAAAAAAATTTTCAAAAATTTGTTTCTCTCCTTTTTGCCTAGAAAGATTCGTCTGTTTATGCTGATCAAGAATATATATGATTTATGCGGTCGGAAATGACTCCTTCACTTTGTTTCGAGCTTCTGACTAAAATTAAAATACTATTTTTTAGTCAATATTTTGATATTTATAAATGACAATTTTTTCAACAAATCAATGTTTAAAAAACTCACTGCTAAGCTAAAATTGCATTAATTTCGATTCGGAAAGCTGTTCTGTTCTAGTTTTTAATAGGTTAATAAATCTGCATACTCAAATTACATTTTTAAACCATTTCAATTTTCGTCGATTTTTCAGAATGCTAATGATGAAAAAACGGCTTGAAAAATATTGAAAAAAAAAATAGAAAAATTTGTTTCTCTCCTTTATGCCTAGAAAGATTCGTCTGTTTATGCTGATCAAGAATATATATGATTTATGGGGTCGGAAATTACTCCTTCACTGTTTGGTAAGTTTCTGACTAAAATTATTGTACTCTGCAAGGGTATACAAATATGTACGTTTGATATGATCTTGAAAATGATCTTGCAAAACTATAATAAATACAAATTAAAGAAACTAAAGCAGCTTGTCAGCTAAAGACATTTTGAAAGCATAAATAAATTCTTAAAAATAAATAAAGCCATTCTTTTAGTAATTTTCAAGATTTACTAACCCATTTTTAAACTTAAGTATAGAAACATATAAGACCATAAAAATATTACTTGAGGTTGGCTTGTAGCTTAAGCATAATAAATAAATAAACTTATAAATAAATAAATAATAAAATAAACAAATATAGAATATGAAATTACCTTTTTTTTGTGTATGAGCAGTTCTAGATGGGTAAATAAACAAAAATTGGAAAATAAATGTAAAACCAAAACCAAAAGCTAAGGCAAAGATCATGCACAGGATAAAACCAAAAACCAAAGGAATATCTAATTTTCCAGGCTTAGAAATTAGTTTAAAATAAAAATTAGCAAAGCGTGGGCGTGGTTTTTACAACAATTAACGATTAAAACAAAACAAAAAACATAATTAGAGGGCTAATAATAATATGAATAGGAATAATAAACTCGTCGTACTTACTGAATTTTACTTTTAATTGGGAGGAGTTTTTTTATTTTATCATTATCATTTGTTGTTATTATTTGACTCTTTTTGTTGGCTTCATATATATGCAAATATATATTCAGGTCTATATATATAATGATATATATATATATATACATATGTATATAGAGTTGATTGTTTGCTTTGTTTTTTTTTTCAGTTTATGTCTCGGATATTGGTTGTTGTTTATGTGTTTTGGTTTTTGTTTATAGAGCTTTCTTTCTTTGTCTTCATCATTTCATTTCATTTTCGCTTGCTTTTATAATTTGTTTTGTTTGTATTTGTTTGTTGTTAGATTATGTTTTACTTTTTATGTTTTGTTTGCTTCTTTGTCATATTATTGTTTAAGAAATGGTATTATTATTATTAGGAATTAGGTAACCTACAAAAAATGGTAATAAAAAAGGTGAAAAAAGGAAAATAAAAACATTGCGCACACACACACTCAAATTACAAATTACGAATTTAATTTAAGTGGAAATTAAATGCCAAATAAAAGGTAGGAATGTATACGTAAGAAATGTATATAAAATATACTAATTTTTTTTTAAGAGAAAGAAATGGCTAAAATGGATAGTAGGGCTTCTAGTTAAGAGAGAGACTTTACAGGACCAAAAGGAGGAGAGCATGCATGGACTTGCCAAAGGATAAACCCCTAAAGGAAAATCAGTTCTAGAAAATCCTATTTGTGTAAAAGAAAAGAATATCTATTATAAGTATTTAAAAACAAGCCGGTTAATGAATCGATTGCCCAACCTGTAGGTCATATTGGACAGGTCAAGAGATAAAATTCCTCTATTTTACAATTATTTTGGTTATATCAACCACAATAATCTCGATTTATCGCATAAATATTGCTACTTTAAAATAAGGATTTGAATATTGTCATAAGACGCTTCTTATAATTGATTTAAAGGAACCTAAAGTTATTGTTTCAAATTGAATTGTAAACCGTATTATTACTATAAAAACAATGTCTTGTCTGATGTACTTAAAGTGATATGGACTTTCTCTAAGTGTAGTGAAGAAGAAAACAAATAGAAGACATGCCGAAAGGATACAACTTAAATAAAGAGAGAGAGAAAGATTATTTGTAGATTTAATGAAATGAAGTAAAACAAAGCAGAAAGGAATAAAGGGAGTAAAGATAAAAACAAGCAGGTTATATATTTATATATATGTATATTAGTTTGCTAGCGACCTACGATCGGGCTTAGTTGAAGCTTTCCCAGCTTTCCTTTCTCCTACCTGTTGGGCTCACAGAAGCGCAGAAAGCAGAGAGCGGAGAATGGAGAACGAAGAACGGAGAATGGAGAACGGAAAATGGAAATAAAAAACAACTGAAGGAAAAAAGCACACTCCACACTCAAGCACACTCACCCACCCACACAGACACACACACTCTAACCACTCACACACATCAGCAGAGAGAGAGGGGGTCATTGGGTCATTGCTATATATTTGCAAAGGATGTGGTTCTAATTGAATCTGTCAAAGATCCCTCACTCTCACCTCTTGAGCGTGGTATCGCCACCATTGGCACGATGCCGATTGTCGACGATGCTCTGAAACCAATTGGGTACATCTACTTTGGCTATTTCATATGTCCGGATAAAGGGCTGGGCCAGCAGTTCCGGATACTTGGGTCGATCCTGATGGTTCTTTGTGAGGCTGCAAGCAAGGTAAATAATTCCATCAATAGATTGAAGCACATCTGCTTGTGAGTACTTACCACTTCTTGACGAAATCGCGAAACTCCTGACTAAAGTTAAAGCCCTCACCGATGGGCAGGCACGGTGGCTCCGAGTCCAGCACCTTGGTGAGCACCTCAAAGTCCGTGTTGCAGCCCTCATATGGGGATCGCGCTGTGGCCAGCTCCACCAGCGTTATGCCCAGCGACCAGACATCGGCGCGAATGTCGTACTTTGGTTTCTTTGGATCGATGCGCTCTGGCTGCGGGGGAGAATAGGTATATAGATATATCAATATCATATTGGAAATGTAACCTTTCGAATTTGCATCGATCTATGAAGCAGAATATACATAAAATTGATAATAAACGTTACTATTTATCAAAAAACCGAATATGGCAACGATATATAATCGACTTTGCATCATTTATCGTTACACAATTGACATATCATTGATTATTTCTTAAGAACACCAAACAAAGACTAACCGCCATGTACGCAGCACATCCCGCAGAGCGTGTGTTCGCCTTGGAGTCCACCAGGCGACCGCTGATCCCAAAATCACAGAGCTTGATATTGCCACGCTCGTCGATCAGTATGTTTGAGGGCTTCACATCACGATGGATGACCCCATGCTTGACTTTTAGATACGACAAGGCATTGACCGTCTGCGAAAAATAGTATTATTAGTTTCAACTCTTTATATCGAAAGAAATCATCATTAACCTACCGCCACTGTGACCTTGCCCAGTATCTGCTCCGGCACGGGCTTCTTTGAGAGCTTGAGCAGCTTGTCGAAGCACATGGACATCAGCTCCATGCAGATCCAAACATCCGGATCGCGTACGAAGCACCCCAGGCACTTGACAATGTACTTGCAATCGTGCGACTTGAGCACCACATCCAGATCCATCAGAATGCGCTTATTCTCCTCGGCGTTCCCAGTGCGACGCATCTGCTTGACGGCAATGATCATGTTGCTGGACAGATGCATCATTTTGACCACATTGCCGCTGGTCCCATTGCCCAAATCGCCCAGGTGCTTCAGATCATTGATATCCGTGGGATATTGCCGTCCATTGATGTTCAGCTTGCCCGTCTGCTCCATGATGATCTTAAGCTTCTTGTCCGTCTCAGTCTCCGACGGATGCGACTGTTGCAGCAGCGGCAGGTTCATGTGACGCGGTCGGTGATAGATACCGCTGGCTGGAAGGTGACACGGAAACCAGGATGAGTACTTTAACTAATTTTAGCTGTATTATAAAATATAGTGGTACTAGGGCTTTAAAAGGGTCTATTTCCTTGGCCTTCAATTTATTTAATATCAAGTTTAATATCTTTGTATTATATCTCATTATACAAACTTATAAAATCTTTATCCAATACATTTTTATCTATTAAATTAGAGCCTAGAGAAAAACTTATAAATTAACTTATAAATATATGTATATATATATATTTATACCCTTGTAGGGTACGATAATTTTAGTCAGGAGCATACAATACAGTGAAGGAGTCATTTCCGACCCCATAAATCATATATATTCTTGATCAGCATCAACAGACGAATCTTTCTAGGCATAAAGGAGAGAAACAAATTTTTATATTTTTTTTTCAATATTTTTCAAGCCGTTTTTTCATCATTAGCATTCTGAAAAATCGACGAAAATTGAAATGGTTTAAAAATGTAATTTGAGTATGCAGATTTATAAACCAATTAAAAACTAGAACAGAACAGCTTTCCGAATTGAAATTAATGCATTTTTGGCTTAGTAATGAGTTTTTTAAACATTGATTTGTTGAAAAAATTGTCATTTATAAATATCGAAATATCGACTAAAAAATGGTATTTTAATTTTAGTCAGAAGCTCGAAACAAAGTGAAGGAGTCATTTCCGACCCCATAAATCATATATATTCTTGATCAGCATAAACAGACGAATCTTTCTAGGCATAAAGAAGAGAAAAAAAATTTGGAAAATTTTTTTCAATATTTTTTTAAGCCGATTTAACATCATTAACATTCTGAAAAATCGACGAAAATTTAAATAGCCTAAAAATGTAATTTGAGTATGCAGATTTATTAACCTATTAAATACTAGAACAGAACAGCTTTCCGAATCGAAATTAATGCATTTTTGACTTAGTAATGAGTTTTTTAAACATTGATTTGTTGAAAAATTGTCATATAAAAATATCGAAATTCGACTAAAAAACGGTATTTTAATCTTAGTCAGAAGCTCGAAACAAAGTGAAGGAGTCATTTCCGACCCCATAAATCATATATATTCTTGATCAGCATCAACAGGGGAATCTTTCTAGGCAAAAAGGAGAGAAACAAATTTTTGAAACTTTTTTTCAATATTTTTTAAGCCATTTTTTACATCATTAAAAATCAATGAAAATTTAAGTAGCTTAAAAGTTTAATTTGAGTATGCAGATTTATTAACCTATTAAAAACTAGAACAGAACAGCTTTTCGAATTGAAATTAATCAATTTTTGGCTTAGTAATGAGTTTTTTAAACATTGATTTGTTGAAAAAATTGTCATTTATAAATATCGAAATATCGACTAAAAAATGGTATTTTAATTTTAGTCAGAAGCTCGAAACAAAGTGAAGGAGTCATTTCCGACCCCATAAATCATATATATTCTTGATCAGCATAAACAGACAAATCTTTCTAGGCATAAAGAAGAGAAAAAAATTTGGAAAATTTTTTTCAATATTTTTTTAAGCCGATTTAACATCATTAACATTCTGAAAAATCGACGAAAATTTAAATAGCCTAAAAATGTAATTTGAGTATGCAGATTTATTAACCTATTAAATACTAGAACAGAACAGCTTTCCGAATCGAAATTAATGCATTTTTGACTTAGTAATGAGTTTTTTAAACATTGATTTGTTGAAAAAATTGTCATATAAAAATATCGAAATTCGACTAAAAAACGGTATTTTAATTTTAGTCAGAAGCTCGAAACAAAGTGAAGGAGTCATTTCCGACCCCATAAATCATATATATTCTTGATCAGCATCAACAGGGGAATCTTTCTAGGCAAAAAGGAGAGAAACAAATTTTTGAAACTTTTTTTCAATATTTTTTAAGCCATTTTTTACATCATTAAAAATCAATGAAAATTTAAGTAGCTTAAAAATTTAATTTGAGTATGCAGATTTATTAACCTATTAAAAACTAGAACAGAACAGCTTTCCGAATTGAAATTAATCAATTTTTGGCTTAGTAATGAGTTTTTTAAACATTGATTTGTTGAAAAATTGTCATTTATAAATATCGAAATATCGACTAAAAAATGGTATTTTAATTTTAGTCAGAAGCTCGAAACAAAGTGAAGGAGTCATTTCCGACCCCATAAATCATATATATTCTTGATCAGCATAAACAGACAAATCTTTCTAGGCATAAAGAAGAGAAAAAAAATTTGGAAAATTTTTTTCAATATTTTTTTAAGCCGATTTAACATCATTAACATTCTGAAAAATCGACGAAAATTTAAATAGCCTAAAAATGTAATTTGAGTATGCAGATTTATTAACCTATTAAATACTAGAACAGAACAGCTTTCCGAATCGAAATTAATGCATTTTTGACTTAGTAATGAGTTTTTTAAACATTCACTTGTTGAAAAAATTTTCATATTAAAATATCGAAATTCGACTAAAAAACGGTATTTTAATTTTAGTCAGAAGCTCGAAATATATAGATATATATATATTCTTGATCAGCATCAACAGACGAATCTTTCCAGGCATGAAGGATTAACAGTACAATTAAAAAAAAAATTCTAAATTTTATGAAACATCGTTAAAATTGTCAAAATAGGAACCCAATTATTATTTTATCGATATGAGTCCACTGTGCCACGTGAATGTATGGATGGGCGAGTGCGTGTGGGTGGTACGGTAAGGTGTATCTGTATGTGTTTGCAAGACAGAGATAGAGAATTAGAGCGATTTTGTTTTCTGTTTGCAAAGTTATTTTTCACTGACAGAAATTGAAATCAACAATTAGGAACTACAACAAAAGGCAGTCATAAAAAAATAACGCTATTTGTAAACATGCGAAAGAGGAGACACGTTGGAATGGGGCGAAGAAGAAGGAGAAGGCGCAGAAGAAATGCGAAACCGAAAAATAATAATAACAACAACGTAAGCGTAAACGAGAGCGAGCGAGAGACAGAGCGGGCATATAAAGACATTACTCCGGAAATGCCAAAAAAAGTAACCAATAAGCCAGGCAGCCAGAGAGAGACAGGGAGAGGGAAATGCAAAAAGTGACACGCACACACATGCACCCAATAAATAAATAAATAAATATAATCAAACACTTGATGGGTCCATGGAAAGCCAATACGAAAGTTTATCAAACTAGACGTAAACATGGCAATCCGACGAGGGTTTTAATCATAACAAATATGATGACATTTAAAACAGGACAAAAACATTATTTGAATCGGAATTAATGCTTAGTTTTGCTTAATTATGTTTATTTTCCCTCGATTGGTATCGATTTACCATAGAAAATATAATTTAAATGGCTGAAAATGCATATGTTTGAGATCTTATTGGAAGCATTTGTTTTTCTTATTTCAACTGAAATTAATACTTTCCTTCCGTTAAAAAATATGTTGATAAATATTAATTTAATGTCCCCAGAAAGAAATATTCGAGGTGTTCTTGAGATAGCCAAAAATTACAACTAAAGGCCAAGGTTTTTACAATTTATATATATTAACAAAATAACAATAACTGTCAACGATTTGTTATAATAAACTAAATAATATGTGGAATAAAATTATACAAAGTTTTGACGAAAGAATTATTTGATTTTCTTATATATTTATTCCCAGTTTTCAACTTATTTATTTTTATTATTTATATTTATTAGGAACTCAAAGACTTACTATAGTCTTAACTATATATTAATATTCGTGGTACTTTTTTTTTATGGGATTTTGGAATTCATGGAAAACTTTTATACCTGGAATTTATTATCTAATCAACTTTTGTACTCAACTATTGAAAAACTCATTAACATTTTATAAACCTTTTCTAGGTGCTCGTTTAGTACTAAACCAGGGGGAGAATTCGTGGAAAACTCGGTCACCTGCACAAATTGTTGTTAATCTTATCAACGATTTTTGGCAACTGCCAGAAGGAATAAATTTTCTGAACTGCGCCTCTTTGGACTTATCGAGTGTTTAATTCCATGTGATGCTAGGATATGCAGGATTATACCTGCCTTCCTGGGATTACTAAATGTTTTAAAATATACCTAATAAATAATGATACTGATGATAGATCTTATTGAAACTTTACTTTCGATATATGTATGTACATTTCTTAGTAGCACAGCATAATTCCCTTATCCTTCCACCTGACATGTTTTATGTTTAATCTTATCGACTTTTGACCATGCATGTCTTTGATTATACGAAAACCCATTAAGGTGTTACAATTTCAAGGTGAGAATTCAGGGAACCAGTGTTTAATTTATTAAATTATCTGCTGTATTATTGTGACTTCCACTGTACCCTTATGGTATTTACTTTTTGGCCACAAACGAGTTAACTTCCCGAACTTGGCCGCCTGTCCTGCCCTGTCTTATCTATGCAATCAGGGGGAAAAAACAATGCAGTGAAAAGTCTGGGGAATGGTGGGTGGTGCGGTGGTGTTTTGCTATATATTTTCGTGCTGAAACAAGAGGGGATTATGAGCAGCTGTTATGCAGTCGGGGAATCGATAGCGGTTGCCCTTTGTTGACGGAATTCAAATGCTCAAAAGCCAGTGAAGAAGCGAATCGAAACGAGCATTTCTCTTATCACAAGCCAAACACAACAGCACACATACACACATGTCGTCGCTGCCTATTGGGCTATGACAATTTATTAACAAAATATTGACACAAAAGCGCACAAAAGATGGGTCTGTGGCTTGCGGTTGGCGCATAGGCGGCATAGATATTTATATATCTTTTTTTTGTGACCATTTTTGGGGATCACGACTTTTCTCAGACCTCTTTTATTACCACTACCATTTACAGTTGTGGTCAAAATAATAGTTATAATAATATAAAATTGTAAATTCAATTTAATTCAGTACCTAATTAGTAATAGGATCTTTTGAAATAATAGAACGTCGGCTGTTGCTCTTTTTTTGTAATTCGGGGATAAGCTTTACTAGAACCTTGTGGCTACTATCCCTCACCCTGGATAAAGAGCTTCAATGCCATTGTTTTTAATTATTTTCCCCTCATTTCTTTAACATCTATTAAAACTTGACACCATAGTCATTCTGTTTATAAACAAAAGTCAAGGCAAAAGGTGTTACATTTCCAGGAGCTTCCTGGTAAAACCTTAGGAAAATGATTGTTAATTTTAAAATAGATCTCATAATGAACTTCAGGGAATTCTACAGGTTGTCATATTACTGAACATAAGTTCAAGTTTTACTTTTAAATATTAGTTTCTATATGTTGTTAGAGGTTTAAGTAGTTAGGAATTCTTTGGTGACATATTCTTTATTCTTTCTATTTATGTTTCGCAGAAGATTTCGAGGTTACGATTATTGGTTTAGCAAGCTTTCTTAGTGAAGATATAAAATTTATTTTACTTTCTTTAAAATATGGATATATTTCTTTAAAATATATATATATTCTAAGCGTTTTCCTTGAAGTAACCTAATGCCTAACCTCTACGAAGAGCAACAGACATGATGGGTTTTTCCAATCTCGAAAGAGCGGCGACTCTGAGTGTCATCCTGTGCTCCATCCATTGGCAACTTTATCCAACTTTTGTCTTATAGATATTCCTTCAGGATGCTATTAGTAAACTTCTAAGGTTAACCTTTTCTGGGGCAAATGATGGTGAAACCCAAATAACACTTTCCTTTCCCGCTCCCCAGAGATCTAAGTCTAGTTATTTAGGACTTACCAATGGGCAGACTGGGCGTGGGGCGAGGACTCCTGGTTTTGGGCGGGACAAAGGATCCACTAAAGGTGCCCGTCGTCGCCATCGCCGAGGAGGAGGAAGATGATGATGGAGCCAAAGCGGCGGACGATGCGGCGGCGGAGGAGGCAAACACGGATGAGCCAGCGGCTGCTGCTGCTTGCGCTGACTGAGGAACTGGAGGAGCTGGCCGCTGGGCTATGCTGAGGCCGGCGGACGTCACGGGCGAGGCGGCGGACGCAGATGTGGATGCAGTTGCGGGTGGTGGTGGTGGAACACGACGCGTTTTGGAGAGAACTATCTGCTCGTGGGACTCGTTCTGGGCCTGGAGGGCCGCCTCCAAGGACTGCAGGCGGCTGCCAATCGTCTCGAACTCAATGGTCGACATTTTGCGCGCTTCTTATTTATATATTTATATATATATATTCAATTATTTATTATTGTTGCTGCACTTTTCAAGCCGTTTTGTGTTGTTTTTGTGTTTCTTCTCTTTTCGGCGAACACTTCTTCGATTTTTTCACACAAACACCGACACACACACACACACACGCACGCACACTGGCACTGTCGCTGGCGGGGGAGGGTGCGTGTGTGCGAACCGTTTTGTTGTGCCCTCTCTGACAGAATGTGTGTGTTTGTGTGTGGTTCTTGTTGTTGCTGCTGTTTTGATATAATATTTTTTTTTGCGGGACACTCACACACACGCTTTTTGAACTTTCCCACTTGCACAAATAGCGGATAGCTGGATTTTGTTGTTGGCGGCCACACAAAACACAATAAAAAAAAACAAAATCGAAAAAGGAAAACACAGTCACTGTGACAGAGAGGGACACAAAACACACACACACACACGAACAGCGCTCTTTTTCGCTCTCTTAGCAGTAGCAGTGGTAGTAGTAGTAACAGCAGCAATGGCAACAACAACTCGCAACGTTTTTTCGCTAATTTTCGCTTGGCACACACGAAGAATTGAGCTTATGGATTTCTACTCCTGCGCTCGGTTGGGTTTTTGGCCGCGGGCGGCGGTATCACTTGCACAATTCTTGCACTTGATTTTGTTCGATTTGCGATTTCGCGTGTACAATAGAGGTGCAAAAACATCGATGAAAACATCGATGCATCGATGTTTTTCCAATTCTCTTAATCATCGATATTTTATTTAACCATCGATGTCTTTGTCCCGTCACTAACAAAAGTATATTAAATTAGCTATTTCTGTTAGAAACCAAGTATAGAGCCGTTTTTTATAAAATATTTGCAATTTATATATAATTTGAATTCCAATTTTTTTATTTATTTTTCCCATTAATGTTTTTCAAATTGGAAAAGTATATTTTAGTATATTTCTGTCAGCCCTTGAGGTACAACTTATCGTTATCGACGCGGTCACCCTGGTTATGTTTTGTCTCCTTTTCTTTCATTGCTAGAAACTAGTGCTGCCACCCATTTCAGCTAGATTCTTTGCAAAAAAGCTAAAACAAGCTAAATATAAATATTAAAGTTAAATAAACCTAAACCCGAATGTAATAATTATTACTTGACATATTATTTTTAACACAGACTTGATACAATTAAAATCTATATTTATCTAATATAAGCTGTGGAAAAAGCGAGAAAATTAGAGGCGCAAAAACATCGAAGTTTGACACATATTGATAAACATTTATTGATATACATTATTAAGCATGTCCGGGCTAAGGATTTTTAAAAACTTTGCTTCATGTTTTACTATGCCACATTTAAATATATTGTGGTATTTTATCAATTTGAATGAGAAATAAAATTTTTAACTAAATCGAGTTCATACTATCGCTATCGAGATATTTCACAGTTTTCAAACGAATGGAGAGTGAGACTTAAAAGTTTCAAAAATAATTAACCAATAAACTGTCTTAATAATTAAAGTTTTTAAGAGAGCATACTGTAGATTTTAAGAGCATACAAAACTCCCTTGATAGTGACGGCACAGAAACATCGAATGTTGAAAAAAATAACATCGATGACTTAGAAAATTCGAAAAACATCGTTGTATCGATGTTTTCATCGATGTTTTGTGCACCTCCACAGAAAAGGCAAGAAAAGCGTGAAAAGCGAACAGAAAGCGAAGCGGCCAAAACGGGAAAACGCGAAAGGCTAATAGAGCGAAAGGTGCGCAAAGCGAAATGAACACAAAACACGCGCCACCGACGGCGGCTCGTATTTGATACCAAATGTGGTAAAAATAGCTGAATTAAGTTCCGCCATCCACAGAATCGGCGCCACACACAACACAACCCACCCGAGGAGAGGAGCGAGGAGCGAGGAGCAGAGCAGAGACCAGTGCCGAGAACAGATCATACCCACGCCAGCCGCCATGTCCAAACGTCCGCGGCCAATGCCCATTTCCATCTCCAAAGAACCAGAGCAGGCAATGTAAGTTACCTACCCTACGGCCCCCTTCTCCCCTCCCTGCTTCTGCTCATTGCTGCTCCGCTTGGCCCTCACAGTGTACCGCCGCGCAACCTGGACTCTAGGGCCACCATCCAAATTGGCGATCAGACCTTTGACATCGATGCCGATAGCCTGGAGAAGATCTGCGATTTGGGACGCGGCGCCTATGGAATTGTCGAGAAGATGCGGCACCGGCAAACGGACACAGTGTTGGCGGTGAAGCGGATACCCATGACTGTCAACATCCGGGAACAGCACCGCCTGGTCATGGACCTGGACATATCGATGCGTTCCAGCGACTGCCCCTACACGGTTCACTTCTATGGGGCGATGTATCGCGAGGGCGATGTCTGGATCTGCATGGAGGTGATGAGCACGAGTTTGGACAAGTTCTATCCAAAGGTCTTCCGCCACGATCTGCGCATGGAGGAGAGTGTCCTGGGCAAGGTAACTAGCAATAGTTTCGCTCTATTTATATTGTATATCGATGTGTTTCTACTGTCCAGATTGCCATGAGTGTGGTGAGTGCACTGCACTATCTGCATGCCCAGCTGAAGGTGATCCATCGGGATGTCAAGCCCTCCAACATACTGATCAATCGTGCCGGCCAGGTCAAGATCTGTGACTTTGGCATCTCAGGTGAGGCTTCGCTCGCTCTCTCTGTCTCTTCTATGTTTCTCCTGTGCTTATCTCTTTCTCTCTATCGTCTAGGCTACCTCGTGGACTCCATTGCCAAGACCATAGATGCCGGCTGCAAGCCGTACATGGCCCCGGAACGCATCGATCCGCAGGGCAATCCGGCGCAATACGACATCCGCTCGGATGTGTGGTCGCTGGGCATCAGCATGATTGAAATGGCCACGGGCCGGTATCCATACGATAACTGGCGGACGCCCTTTGAGCAGCTGCGACAGGTGAGCCAGTTTTCACTGATATATTTCTTGATTTAGGAGCAGAAACGACTTTCCTTGAAAGCCTATTAAATAAGGCACCATAACTTGGACTCGGTATCTATCCGAGAACCGTTTCCAAAATGCTGCAAACAGCGCTGTTAACTTTTTGTTAAGATTATAGAATAACCTACATTTCCCCTCCAGGTGGTCGAAGATGATCCGCCACGCTTGACGCCCGGCACCTTCTCGCCGGAGTTTGAGGACTATATAGCCGTTAGCCTGCAGAAGGAGTATACGGCGAGGCCCAACTACGAGCAGCTGCTGCGGCATAGCTTCATTGTGGAGCATCTGCAGCGCAACACGGACATTTCAGAGTTCGTGGCCAGGATACTGGACCTGCCCGACAACCAGCAACCGGCGCAGTAGGGTTTTTCAGCCCGTATCCCATGTAAATTGCCGGCGTCTTCTTCTAAAAGCATGCATTTCGTACATGTGCGTGTGTGTCCTCCCTACCTCCCCCTTTCCCCCTACCCTTCTAAAAATAATAACAAAAAGGAAAATCAAAGGAAAAGCAAAAGAAAATCTAGAAGAGCATCGAGTTGGAAGCAATGCGTAATTATTAAATTTTAAGTGAGAACCAAAAGCAGATGCAGAACAGCAAAATACCTGAAGAAGCAACATGCCACATGCAACATGCAACCTTTCGCCTTGCAAAACGCTCAAAAATAAAATAAACAAACCGAACGAACCGTCGTGCCTCCCCAGCTGGCGATGCTGCTGATGTCTTAAAAACATAAAAAAGAAAAGGTTTAAACATTTAAATAATTAATTATATATATGATAAAGATGAAACGTGAATAGCTTAGACAACGAAGCCAGCAAGCAAGCAAACAATGAATGTAAAAATGCGCCCACTAAAATCTAATGGTAAATTGTCAACCTTTTTGAACACCAAAATAGCCGAACAGAAAGTGTAACTGTAATTATAATTGTTTAACAAATATACATTACGTGAAATAGCTAATTAATGTGGAAACATGTGTGGGTTTTAAGCAGCGTTGGGCACCAGATTAAAGGACAGAGCCAAGACACACAATTTGTTTATGCAAGCTCAAGGTATGGGAAATTATTTTTCTATTACAGCTTAAAATATTAGCATTCTTCGAAATTATATATTTATATGACAAATCAAAGTTTAAAAACCTCAGCTCAGCCAAAACTGCATTAATTTTAATTCGGAAAGCTGTCCTATGTTAGTCTTTTTTAGGTTCTATATAACACTATACTTGTTTATTAACAAAATTATAAATAACTTTTGGGCTTTGCCGCTATATTTCCGGGCAACCAACTCAAATTTAAACCAAAAATCCGTTGAAAAGCTCACCAGTTTAAGTGCCATCCCTTGCTCAATACTGTATATCGATATGATATCGATACCAGCCTCAGCTGTTTGAACCCACTTTACAGAGATGTAAAGGGGGAGCGCTTTTGTAAATCATATTAATTCTCATTTGTTTTGGGAAGTTAAAAGAAAACGCACTAATAAAGTGTACAAAAAATGTTAGGAAAACTTCTTAATTCGTAAAATGTTGTATCTTTTTACGTTTATAATAACTAAAAAGTTTAAACCCCTCCAAATGCATTTCTCCGTCGTCCATGGCTTCCCTACTCCGATATTTCTGTTCCATCCCTAGGAGGGGTCATAAAACCGCGGCTAATCTGAACCAATTCCCGCAACTCCCACTGGAGATTAGATTCACCAAAGTAACAATGGGCAGCGCACGGAACCTTCTGTTGCTATCCTCGTCGCGATTGCATGGTCATGGATATTTAGAGCACGCCCGCGGCCAGCTGGAGGAACTCTTCAAGGGGTGAGCTAGTCCAACCATTTGTCATTCCCTTAATAGCTCTTGCCTTCCTCCTGGACAGGGCTAGTGTGAAGACCGTCCTCTTTGTGCCATACGCTCTGCGGGATCACGACAAGTACACTGCCACCGTTCGCGATGCCCTGCAGCCGTGGGGCTATACCGTGGAGGGACTCCACACGAAACCGGATCCCGTCGATGCTCTGAGCAAAGCCCAGGCCATCTTTGTGGGCGGCGGCAATACCTTTGTCCTGCTCCGCACCCTCTACAAGCTGCATCTACTGGAGCCCATCCGGGAACTAGTCCTGCGCGAAGGGTTGCCCTATGTGGGCAGCAGTGCCGGCACCAATGTGGCCACACGCTCCATTCACACCACCAACGACATGCCGGTGGCCTATCCGCCGAGCTTTGATGCCTTGGCCCTGGTCCCCTTCAATATCAATCCGCATTATCTCGATCCGGAGGTGGGGAGCCAGCACAAGGGCGAGACACGGGACGAGCGACTGGAGGAGTTTGTGGCATATCATCAGCTACCGGTGCTGGGACTACGCGAGGGCACCAGTGTACGCGTCCAGGGAGAGAAGGCAACGCTACTGGGAGACCGCAATGCCAAGCTCTTTAAGGCGTATGTATCGCAATCCTAGTGGAATCCTAGAATGATAATTCTTTAATTACTTTTCCAGTGATGGCAATACTGAGGAGCTGACCCCTCATTCGGATCTTAGCTTCCTCCTGAGACAGGAGTAGAAATACAAAGCAGAGTCACTGGAAGTTACGTTGAGTTGAGGATAACATCTACATTTATTGTACATAATTTTATGTATTATTCTGCAATAACAACAATTTATATTCCTAAACGTAAAGTAATTTTATACTAACGACTAAATGTAAAAAAATTGGTTTCATTTTGTGCGAAATTAACTTTAGTAATAAATTAAACGGATATCCCTTTGGGCAGGGCAGGCAGATTTGATCCTATTCGATGCTAAAATGGTATCAGAGGCATATATGGTAGCTAGTTCAATCTAAAAGACAAGTGAGCGAAACCGGTAATATCATTAATTAAAGGTTTCCTTTAAGGAACAAGTAAGCTTTGTCGTCTTAAAAGTTACGTTTCTTTGTAAATCAGAGGAAAGTGTGTTGGGGTCCCTTTTTAAGTGACTGAAAGGGGACTCCTTCCTCGTTTTCTCACACTCTGATTAAAAAGGAAACTTTCTTTTCCAATTGAGGAAATAAAGAGAAATGTCAAGTGTCTCCTAGAGTTAGGATAGGATACTCTGGGCAAGTATACATTTAAATCACCTTAATTCTAGACCTGGCACACACACACACTTTTGAGGCAAGGCGGCATCTGTTCTCTCTTCGTTTTCTACTTTCGAATGGTTAACACTTAGCTTAATTAATTAATTTGGGGTTTTGGTTTGGGATGGGAATAGATGAATCGTCGTAAAGGTAAAGATAAGTATTTACATGCGAATGGAGAAATAATAGTTACTTATTTACTGACCCACCATTTTGAGCATTGAATGTTTCACTTTTTAAAGCAAGCAACAACAGGAATTGCCTAGGCCTACACACTAAGTTACGGTTTGAGATAGGTCTCCTACAGGATGCTCAGGGGCTTAAGCTTTCTTTCATTTTACCATGGGTGCGCGAGTATAGGAGCTGACACAAGTCCTGTATAAGATCTAGATCTAGAGACAAACACACTAAAGACATATAATGAATGGGAAGCGTAACGCCAAGGGACTCGATGGAGTTCGATGGGTGTTACGAATCTTATTCATTATATGATCTTCAATCACACACGCGAGGCATTCACTACTTCAGTCAGTCACACCTGGAAATATATGTAAGTTTATAAAAAAAGGAACTGATGATATAACAGGCAGGCGCTGGAGCTGGAACTGAAGCTGAAGCTGTGCTATTTGTGAAGAATACTTTTATCCTCGTAGCGTATGATGGCATCGCCGATCTGCTTGCGTGACGCCAAATGGATGCACTGCTCCCGGCCACAGCGCTCCGGCAGACCACTGTCCGGCAGGGAACCGCCCCGCGCCAAATGGTTCCGCACATTCTGACCGAATCGCAGATTTGGCTCCACGCCGCGCAATATATGCACCGAATGCTGCGCCGCCACAAACATGTCCAATATGCTTTCGACGCCGGCGGGTCGCGTCGTATCCTCACCGGCTGACGGCGGCAGCAGCAGCTGGTCAATGTCCAAATCGCTGCGAATGATGGGCAGGCCCTGCGGATGCAGCAGCTTGCGGGCTGTCCAGAGAGAGAGAGAGTATAGATATAGATTAATCTGGAACAATTCAACACTTTTAATCCTCACTCACCCTGAACATAGTCCCGGCTGTAGAAGGCTATCACATCGTGATTGCGACGATCAAAGTAACCGCTGCTTTGGCTCACATCGCAGGTGTCGCACTCCCGGCAAAACTGCGCCCAGCGGCACGGGTACATCTGGAAACCGATGGGCGCGTATACCTGGAAGCCCTGGATCGTGTTCATGCGCACCCGGTTAAGGAAGTCCGCCTTGAAGCCCATGCCCGGTGTGGCCAGCAGCACCAGGGACTCGAGTCCCAGCTTGGGCAGCGCCAGATCGGCTACCACCAGACTGAGCAGCTGACGGGGCCCGTACATGGAGGCGTGCAGGAGCCAGGCCTGAGGATCTATTGGGTCGCTAAGCTGCTCCGGCAGCCGGATAGACACCCAGGCGATCCGCGAGCCATCCGTCTTGTATTTGGAGGAAAGATCTAGGGCCAGGGTCTTCAAAGCCTTGAACGGATCCTCGTCGCCCTTGCTGGGTGAGTCCAAACGGTACAGAAAGATCTGTGAGGATAGATTATGATTATTACTAACTATTCGCAGAACGCATTAGAGTTTCCCCTGCCATCTCACCAGCAGCAGGAAGGTGTTGTCCTGGTTCTGCATACAGATCCGTTCGTACTGCTCCACAAAATCCAAAGCATCGAGCACCTGGTGCTCAAATGCCGGCATCAGCATGGCAATTCGTGTGCTCTCGGTGACATAGGGCGAGGGCACCACCTCGACACGGCCCAGAGGTTTGACCACCTCAAAGCTCTTGACCAACTGGCGGCGACTACGACCGGAGCCCTCCACCAGGCTAAGATGCAGCTGATAGTCCATGCCGCGGGTGGCATCGAACTTCCGGTAGGCACTGTGCAGACTGTGATAGCTTAGTCGCGGATGCTTGAGGGCCGCATACTGCAGGGCAATCTCTAGGACCTTGGCAAAGTCCAGGGCCTCGATCCGTGAGAGGGGGCCACCGCATGCTCGGCATTGCCGTGCGGCAGAAAGCTGTGCGTGGCATTCAGAAGCTGCCACGTAAGGATATCGTGCCGCGTCTCTGGTGCACTTGGCGGTGGCACACCCAGGGGCCAACGGATCTCGAGGATCTTGTTCGAGATGCTGCCATTGGCAATGCGATATGATTTCTGTTCCAGCGCATAGCCACGCTCCTGCACCATCTCCAGGTGATGCTGTCAATGGAATTAATTATTATTATATATATTTTCAATATTCTATTGAATATTTCCTCTCACCTTGGAGTAGTAGGCGTGCAGGCGATAAAAGTCCTCGGGTGTCTGAACGGGATACACGGTGCTGGCATTGCGGAAGGCCTCCTCCTTGGCCAGATCGCTAAAGTCCCGATGTCGCCGTCCTGGCGCGTCCAGGGCATAGCTATACTGTCGCATTCCCTGCAAGAAATAAAATAATGAAAGCCATTTAGTAGGGGCAGTGAACAGCGCCAGTTGGCCAAGGTCAAGGGCAAGTTCTGGGTCTGGGTCTGGGAATCCCACGACTCCCAGCCAGATGGGGATCTTTCTCTTGCCATCTTTTACGATCCATAAAAAGCCAAGCGAGCGTAATTAAATTAACAATGTCGCACTGAAGAGAACAGAGAACGGAGTCTTCTGGTTGGTTCTTCCTCTGCAGTTTCTCTGGAGGAATCGAGGCAGCAGGGGAAGTAGTAGGAGGATCATTAAAATTGCCGGCGCACATTAATCAATTCCCGGCGTTGCAGTGGAGCAGGGTAGCAGCTTTGATGCCGCCGTTAAGCAAAACTTTCTTAGTCAGTTAATTAAGCAAAAAGGGTGAAAAAAAGTATAGAAGAAAAAATACAAACAGACTTTGTTTAAACAGTTGCAGTCGAAAAGCAAGGGAATTATATATCAAAGTTTGTCATATTCTATATGAAAATAAAACAATAAATTCTATATAGCAGAAAGTTTGAATGAAAATATAATAATGAAACCATACTATAATCATATAAGCTTAATATCATGAAATCTTTCAAGTGGAAAAGAGTGATACTCCTTCAAGTTAGTTAAATTCTAAATAAATTTAGTTTAGTATTTAACACTTTCTTCCAAGTACAAAATACTTCAAGTGCTACTGTGTTTACCAGAGACCACACATATCACATATATCATTCCCCTGACGCATAAATAAACGCGAATCTCAAACAAACTCAGTGGAATCGGAATCGAAATCGGAATCAAACAAACATAATGCTCCCACTAATGATCTAAACATATCTTAAAAGTTGTTCCGCAAAGTTTACTAATGCCTTTTCCACGAAATCCAAGCAAAATCGGAGTGTTTTATATACAAAATAAAGAGGAAACCCACTTTAGGAAGCCCAAGATTATATATCCGTGCAGTTTGCAATTGAAATATATCATAACTAATTCACATTCCTTATTTATAGTATTATTATTATATTACATTTTTTGGAACAACACCACAGTTTAAAAAATTCATAACTTGGCTAAAAATGTATTAATTTTAATTCGGAAAGCGGTCCCATGTTAGTTTTTTTAAGGTAAAAAATTCGAATTTTTATAAATTTTAACGATGTAATAACCCCTTATTAAATTTGGAAAAAATTGAAAAAAAATTTTGTTTTTTTAATACATGCCTAGAAAGATTCCCCTGTTGATGCTGATCAAGAATATATATAGTTTATAGGGTCGGAAATGACTCCTTCACAACGTTTGAGGCTTCTGACTAAAGTTAAAATACCATTTTTTAGTCGATATTTTGATATTTATAAATGACAATTTTTTCAACAAATCAATGTTTAAAAAACTCACTACTAAGCTAAAATTGCATTAACTTCGATTCGGAAAGCTGTTTTGTTCTAGTTTTTAATAGGTTAATAAATCTGCATACTCAAATTACATTTTTAAACTATTTCAATTTTAGTCGATTTTTCAGAATGTTAATGATGTAAAAACGGCCTAAAAAATATTGAAAAAAATTTCAAAAATTTGTTTCTCTTCTTTATGTCTAGAAAGATTCCCCTGTTGATGCTGATCAAGAATATATATAATTTATGGGGTCGGAAATGACTCCATCACTGTATTGTAAGCTTCTGACTAAAATTATAGTACCATTTTTAATTTTTTTAATTTTTGTTGAGAAATCAAAATTAAACTAATAAATGGTTTATTTTAAGGAATCAACAACTGTTTTTTATCTTTGAGTTATAGAAATAAACAATTGTAAACAATTTCAGGGGAAATTGCTCAAGACCACCGACTTTTCTGGCAGCTGCTCTCAAACTGTCACGTCTTGAAGTTAACACACAAAACACACAGAACACACAACAACAACAACACACACTCTTCACACTCTTCATCGATGGCTGAGAAGAAATTCTGTTGTTCCTACTCGGAAATTAAATAAACTGAGTTGTTCATCAACCTCTAGAGATGCGATGCTGGTTTCTATTCAGCTTCCAGATCTGATTTTCGCTCAACCTATTTATTTATGCTCTTTTCTTAACAAAAAAAAATAAAACGATATATATATGTATCTATATATCTGACGCATGCTGCTGGGTGTGAGAGTACTTGGCTTCTTTTTTTTATTATTATTTATTATTTGCTTTGGCTTTTCAGGGTCAGAGTTGTCAGGTTTGTTCTAAGAGAACCTTTAACCTTTACAGGCATCGCATATTATTATTAATTTTATTATTGTAATAAAAAAAACTTTAAATTATTATATATAAATATATAATAATTAATTTTTATTTTAATATTTTTCAATTAAGAATCCATATTTATCTTGGGGAAATAAGCTCAACTGGTAACTCTGCTATTTTATATCAATGAACTGATTTCTTTCTCTACATCCGAGTATGTTTGTGTGTGTTTTTTTTTAGTCAAAAGCAAATTGTTTAAATAAATAAATAGCCATGTAGGAAGACGAAACCGAGCAGAAGCTAACTGAAAAGGCATCAAAAAGCACACAGCAAATTAATTGATGAACGCACAATGCCATGCTCTTGGAGTCTTTAGATCTGTTTATTGTTAAATTTGTTTCTTATTTGGATCGAAAAAGAGTAAATATATTTAGTATTTTTTTTTAGTTTGTATGGAAAAGTTTAAGCCTCGATTTGTGTTTCGGTGCGAAGTTTGCCTTTAGATTATATCACATTTTAATGATGAATGTACATATTGAATTATAATAGTATTTTCTCTTTCCAAGGTTACGGATTTCGTTTGCTTCTGCTCGTGCTTTGCAGGCAAAGCAAGGACATGGTGAGGGAGATAGGAAAGAGAATCTATTGCTCTCATATTTCTTAAAAAAAGTAATAGTTCTCACCTGAAAACTCTCCTGGCATCCAGACACCCGACTGGCATACTTGACGCACCTTCCAATGTTGACGCTGTGGTCACCGGTGCTCCCAATCCGGACGCAGCGTTCCAGATTGTTACGCATCTTGCGGATGACACTGCTGCTGAGCAGTATTCCAGCCTCCAAGGAGCAGTAGTTACGATCACTGATACCGGGTGGCATCTGATCCTGGTCCTGATCCTGCTCCAGATCCGGATCCGTCTCCTCGCCGCCTGCTGGCTCGTTGGAACGAGCAGTGAGACCGACACGGGCACCGCCCATATACAGATCAAATGTGATGCTCATGTGATAGAGGAGCTTGGTTAGCTTCCTGGCGTCCACGTAGACATTGTCCGGAACCAGCAGGAAGTAATCATATTCATCCAGGTAGTTATCGGCAATGTACTTGATCACATGGAAGGGACGCCGACTCTCCTGGGTGTCCGTGAAACCAACAATGTTCTTTAGCTTGTAGTTGGTTTTCACGCTGTCCGCATAAATAAAGAACTTGATCTTGTTCACCAGGTGGGCGGTGGTGCGATTGAAGGCCGTGGCAAAGGTGTTGATGTGCTCCTGTGCGGTCATAACCCCAATGAAGATCTTCTCGCGAATGCCCAGCTCTGAGGAGTAGTAACGCGGCCGAATTACATTCTTAACCTGTTTGGGATTACAAAAGAAAAATATATATTTGTAAATTTAAATTATTAATTAGAGAAAGGAAATGTACAATATTTGTTATTTAGGGTTATTTAAGGTATGTATTTATAAGTATTTATTAAGGTATTCATAATTATTACATAAAATTTTACATAGTTATAGATGCCTGTCATAATATTTAAGGGAGAAGTGCTTTGAAGTGTATTTTTTTCCTCTATATAAACCTTTAATTGGTCCGGAAAATGGCTGTTAAATTTTATATTATATTCTATTATTATTTAACAATTTGTCTAGTGTGAGTCTAGTTATCTTTTTTTCGGCTTTGTTTATGGATCTGCATAGTATGGCTGTAATACCATATCATTTTCAAGATTCTAATTCAATATTTAATCATAAACACCTTTAAGATATTGATTATTTGAGTTAACCAATAAGTTTATGACAATCTATAGGCCTGAAAGATAACTATTTCGTTTTCTAATAAGATCAATTTTCCCTATTTCATAAACACTAATGATTTAATGAGTTGCTAGTGTCATAATCGCATATTCAAAGGAAACATATTCATTTATAATATATAAATACGCCTCTTTGAACTTGAAAAAATGTTTTGGAATCGTAAATAGAGCTGGCCCTAAGCTGGGGGGATCTATCTTGGATTTCGAGAACCGATCTTGAAAAGATCTCCCTAATAAATTTCTGAAATCTCAAGTTGATTGTACGTGACTCCGTGGTCAGAAGTGGAATTTCTACAGAGGATGAATCACATTACCAGAAGGCAGAAGGGAAAACAATATGCATATAGTTCTCTAAGAAAAATCGAAGTCAAAAGTATTTAGTATTTGATAAATAAAACACAAGTGGCTTGCCCACCTGCCTATTATTTTTATATTTTTTTTCTGGTTCTTTTATCTGCCCAATTACATCAATTCCACCACGCTTATGTACTTATGGCGACTACATCATAAAGCAAGTACTTCAAGTGGTTCCCTTTTTGTTTCATTCTTTGGCCACTTGAGGAGGCAAGGTTTTAATTTGTATTTATTGTTATTCTTTTACGACTAAGTAGATGACTGTTCAAAGCTTGAGGAGGCCAATGAGGAATTCCCCTCCAGGCGAATATACTTATATCCATTATCTGGAAGCGAAATAATTTCCGATTGCGATTCCCAGAATGCCCAGAAACGATGATAGTAACATTTTTAGTGACTTAATGTTCTCTGACACTTGGATGGAATATTTTTTTAATTATTTATTGTGAGTAGAGCATGTGATTGGGCTTTTCTTTTGGACTAGCTTTTCTGGGTTTGTTCAAGGGAAGGTTTAACTTTTAGGTCATATGATCAGTTTTGAAAATAATAAGAGAAATAACATTTAGAATAAGCCTTACTTTCGTTGATATTTAAATTTGTAACTCAATATATCTTTTCATTTTAAATGCATTTCAAGGCTCCAAAATATTTGGTACTTCCTTAAAAAGAACACCAACAAACTATAAACAAAATGTGTGAAACTAATGCTTAGCAAAGTAAATATTTCCTGCCATAAACAAAACTCTTTATCATTTTTACTACGAAATTATTGATTTGTTTTGGCTTGAACTTTATGGATTACCGAGTATTTGAACTTGAGCAATTGTGAATAGCTTGTGAGTCACTGTGCAAAAGATTTTCGAATGGGTAAACATCCATTTCGCTTGGCCAATTTTGCATGCATGCCACTAACTTTGCTGGTTAATTCATGGGGCATCTTTCGAGACAGAGACTGAAACCAAGACCGGCAATTGACCCAAAGAGATGTGTGCCTCCTCCTCCTCCTCCGGTTTAAAAAAAATCCACCTGTTGGGCAAGCGAAACTCCACCTGAGCTTGTTAAATAAACAAAATGCCAATTGCCGGGTTGTGCAATAGTCTATAGGAATTATGGCTAATTAAAAAGTATTCCTAATAGATTTTTAATAACTGCAAACAAGCTGTTTGCTGCCAGGTTTATATGGCATCGTTAAGCAGCGGCGGTGCAGGGTCAAAGCTTCTATTAATATTACTTTATGATTTTTAAGAAAAATACCCTCAAATTCAAAAGAGGGCCATGAAATTGGAATAAAGAATAAGTAAACATCTTGGGGAATATTGAAAATACAGACAAGAACACAGACGGGGTTCGGGGGAAAGTATTAAATTAAACCCATTTCTTGAAATTTCATTTTAATCACATTTTTATAAAAACTTTGGGAGTATTTCTGAAATTTGTTGCTAAATGAAAACCTATCAAATCTTATAGTTTATAAACAATTGTTGTAAACTTTAAAGAGCACTTAAAGTTCGCTTAGGGAAGTTTAAAGTTTTCCACTTTGAGTTTTCTAATACTTCTTCATTTTGTAATTTATGATAATTTAAAATATGTAATTATTTTTGTGTCATTGTTTTCATGTTGAGTATTTAACAGTCCTTGGATCTCAGGCAATATTGGAAAAGCAAAAAATGGGTGTTTGCCGTTCAACAGTTGTTAGCAAATAGACTCGTCTGTGTCAGCAATTAGCAGTGATCACCTTAATAAATATAAATACATGATTAAGAAGGCAACATGCACTGAGAAAAATTGTACAAAATAAGCCAAAATTATGACATATTAGTGTTAGCAAGAAAGGAATCCAGCATCGAAAAGCCAAAGTTTTAAATATACCACAGTCTTTGGATTGACATTTTTATATTAAAATTTTTTCCACAGATCAAAATTTAAAAATCTCATAACTCAGTCAAAAAGGCATAAATTTCAATTCAGAAAGCGGTCCTATGTTAGTTTTCATTAGGTTAATAAATCTGCATACTTAATTTAAAATGTCAAAAATTCAAATTATTATCAATTTATCGATGACCCCTTATAAAATTTCGAAAAAAATTTTCAAAAATGTTGTTTCTTCACTTCATGCTTAGAATGACTCCCCTGGTAATGCTGATCAAGAATATATATGATTTATGGGGTCGGAAATGACTCCTTCACAACGTTTGAAGCTTCTGACTAGCATTAAAATACCGTTTATAAGTCGATATTTCCATATTTTTATATGCAAATTTTTTCAACAAATTAATGTTAAAAAAAACTCACTACTAAGCCAAAAATTGATTAATTTCGATTCGGAAAGCTGTTCTGTTCTAGTTTTCAATAGGTTAATAAATCTGCATACTCAAATTACATTTTTAGGCTATTTAAATTTTCGTCGATTTTTCAGAATGTTAATGATGTAAAAAACGGCTTAAAAATTATTGAAAAAAATTTTCAAAAATTTGTTTCTCTGTTTTATGCCTAGAAAGATTCCCCTGTTGATGCTGATCAAGAATATATATAGTTTATAGGGTCGGAAATGACTCCTTCACTGCTTTACTAGCTTCTGACTAAAATTAAAATACCATTCTTTAACTGATATTTATCTAATATTTCATTTGAAAATGTTTGGATCAAAACCATATTACCCTATTTAAATTTCCCACTAAACTACTTCAATTAATCTACAAATTACACCCTAATTTCTGTGACTTGACACTCGATTTCAATATCGATTTCGGATGCAAATCAATTGCAATATATTTAGCATAGAGTTACCTAGTACTTGGGGTGGCACATATGCAATCGCTGGTCGGTTAATGGGTGAATGTGGCGCTTTAATTACCACGATGGGGTCACTGCTTGATCCGATCGCCAACGTAACAGATCGGACCAAGTTCTGACCTTGTGCCAATATATAGCACAGACGCGGACAGACACGGGGGGAGGAGGAGGAGGTACATTTGCCAATCATCAACTGTGTAAATATCGGGCGAAAGGTAAACCGCGGGTAAAAATAACACCAAAAAAACAACACATCCATTTCGGTTGAGATTTCTTCGTTCTTTTTTAATGCGTTTTGTAGCGATTTTTGGGTAAATAAAAATGCTTTTCGAATTATGAATGATGCATTGGTGGGGAAACAGTGGTTCTTAAACTATTTAAGACAATAAATAATGATTAAAAAATTAAATGGAAAATATATATATGTGGGTTCATATTGATAAAAAGGGATCCTGCTTTTCAAAATGATTAGTAAGCATTTCATGTATTTCAAGATATAAAGTTCTATAACATCAAACATATATCATGTATCATGTATCAAGAAAAATTAAATAAATTTAATTGAACTTTGTTGCATCTTTAAAGTAAAGATTTATAAGCATTAATATGTATATATTTCAAGTGACAGTTTATTAATCATATTAACTTTTGTTATACAATAAAACCAATCTTTAAAGTATTAACAAATTGAAAATATAATGAAAATATATATAAATAGGACATCTTTTAAAATATAGTATATGTACATTTAATATATCTTAGCATTTGTCCACTGTAAGTTTTAATTCCGTAAATTCCGTAACAAGGCCAATCATCATGGATAATTCACTAAAAGGTTTGTTCACCTGAACAATGAGTTCGCATCTTTGGGATCGCTCGAAATTCCACATAAAATGCTAATAAATTTCCCCGGCCGCAAACGGAAATCGAGAAAATCTGCCACGAAAAGCACGTGGGCGGCATGAGGAATACATTTTTTTAATACTGGGAGGGGAAAATTTATAACCAAGATAGCATTAGTAACCAATAACCTTGTGACGTAATGACAACAAACGGAAGTGAGCCAAAATGTTCCAAAAGAAAAGAATATATATATGTATATATATTGGGGAGTCAGCTAACCAGGCTAACCGTGCCTTATCGATGGCTGTTCTTATCAGTAGATATTGCCAAGACGACGTCACCGGCAGCAGCAACAACGGGAATACAAATAAAACAAAAAAAAACAGCATTTCCAATTTCAATTTCCATTCGACAAAATTTTAATTAAACACACACATACAGATAGGGATTCCATATTTGTTTACGCGCCGTCCTACTAATAAACCCCATTCTTTGATCACCTTCTGGCGACCAGACAAAATATTAATAAAGATTTGAAATAACAAAAAATGTATAGACCATTTTTTTATTGTGGAAAAAAATACAACTTGTACAGTACAAGAATATTTTAAGATTAAGATTTGAGTACTTGTTGGAGAATAAATAAAGCAAATATTTATAAAGAAAATGGTACAAGTATTCTTAATAAAAGGTTATAAATCTTTTAAGTTTTTCCTGTAAAAAGTCTCGAGTTTCTTTGCTGTGGAACTTTGCAATTAATTAACAGAAACGAAGCACTTAATTAATGACAAGCTTAATGTGCTCAATGGAATATATACATACGATTCGGTTCATAATTGAATCAATTACTTAACCCAGTCTCTTGATCCAATAATTTAAATAATTGACATTAAATACAGTTCACTGACGTCTTTCAAGGCTTAGGATCTTATCTACCTAGCAAAAGGCAATAAATAACAGAGAGAGGAGTGTATATAGTTAATCACTGGCATTAGTATCGATAATATGTCTATTAAACAATCACCCAAACCGGATTCAAAAGGCTATAGATCACTTTAACCGTTGACAAATCATTCGCTTCGATTCGATTTGATTCGCATTGCCTCGTTGAATGAATTAGGCATGTCGAGTATGTAAAGCAGCTTTGTTTTAATCGCTGACTAAATATTTGCACATTTGGCAAGCCCTAATTTTACCCATTATTACACGGTGCTTACGATAGCAAACAGAAACTAAGTAGTGGCCATATAAAACTAGTACACAACACTATAGCGGCTATATCTGGAGATTTATTGCACTCCAAAGCCGACGACGACAAGTAGGGCCATATAATCACTGTGTGGATTTTTATCGCGTCCTAAGTTCAAGTTTAGTCGATTTCTGAGTCATCGGAAGACCGTCAAGGAGTTAATTTCAAATTACACAATAGTACAACAAAGTCACATAAGACCTAATTATTATTCATTATATATTACTCAATATTACTCAATATTTTTGTAATTAAAAACCTTCAATCATTCTTTAAATACATTCAAAACTCAAGAGATTGATTCAAGGATTTATTTGAGCCCCAGTTTTTCCAATTTCCCTTACGGATCAGGTGTATATATATATCATATATTAGACCCTGGGTAATCTCAGAGAGAGAGAGCGGAAAACTGCAGCTGCAAATTGTATTGGATGGGACAAATCTTAATTGGGACAAGTGCGAGTTCTCCTCCGTTCGCTCGGATTAGTCTCGTCTCGTCTCGTTTCGTCTGGCTACGCTTGTGCCAATTGATGTGCCCTGTACTCTGTACAGTCTGCCCTCGAATAAAGGCCACATTCAACGGGGACCGGAAATGCGACGCGCTTTTCAATTAAGCCCACGCCAAGACGACACTCTGACCAATCTGGATGAGTTTCAGAATCCATAACGATGTGGAAATATATATATATGTATATGAAAGCCTAACAAACTCCGGTCTCCCATGGCTAGTCTCTAATCATTGTAAATTAAATTCGAACAATTTAGATAATATATCTACTTACTAGACATTCTTGAACTTAATAAATGCATTTCATTCGGTCAAAGCTTTTATAAATTACAAGACAAAATGTGTTTAGAGAGAATTTAGAGAGTTTACTCATATTTCAGTCTATATTTTGCCAAAGCTTGATTTAAGTTTTAATTTAATTTAAAGCAAGACTAAAGTCTAGACTGGAAATCTTAAAATGTGCATTAGCACAACTTTGACATGTCTTTTATTACATTTTAACTAATCTTTTATTTGCTATTTGGTTGAAATGCTTTCTTAAGTCTAAATCTATTAACAATTGAGACCTGTTGTAAAGTTTCCTTCATTTACATCCATCATTGAAGATCTTTTTCTGTTTTTCCATTTTATCTTAAGAACAAGATTGCAATTTAATTGATGGCTCAAATATAAGTATATATACATATAAGTATCTTGTGAGTCATATTTATTAGAAGAGATCTTGCTTCTGATAATGTTTAATCAGGGAGATAAAACTTAATAATATATTATAATCATAGATAAGCATTGATATATCAAACAAAAACACTATATATAAAATTATCAATCGCTTCAAATGGAGATGGAGTATTGATATCTTTCTATAATTACTGGGTTTTGTTTTTCCCATAGCAAAATCAACCTAACCTGAATCTGATCTTTATAATTACTTTACTATGGCTTTAATTCTATAATCATTTTATCGCTTGATATACGTTTTCTAGAACAAAGATTATTGTATCTTTGCAAGGTGTTGTTTGCTTAATATATATGTGTATATAGAAGGTATATATTTGACATCAGGGTTGATAATATATATTATAAAAGTTTATATCCAGTGAAAGGATTATCGGAATGACATTGAAAAACATTGGAAAACGAAGGCATCATTCAACTCTCCGTTTTCGTTTTCATTTTCAATTAAAATCTTGCGCAACTTCTGGCCACCAGTACAGCCGATAAGCGGGTTTATTTATAGAGCTAGTGCTATGCCAGCTGATAATAAGTCAAACGAACGAACCCAAAAACCCATTGATCTGCACGGGGCAAATACTCTTTACTACTTTACTTTATAAAACACGTACACACGGGAGATTTTTTAAAAATATATAGATATAAAATTTATCTAGGCCTCACTTGCTGCCAGGATGCATACCCGAGGAGGACAAGTACTTATCGAACAGGTACTCCCCCACATCGCTGTGCGCCCGCTCCAGCTGTCGTATGAGATCGGCCAGAACCTTTTGACCATCGACCTGTTCCTGCAGAAAGTTTGCCTCAATAAAGTCACACAAATTGGGATCCGCCTCCTGGCCAGCCAAGGTGTGCAGATCGAGCAAATGCTGGTTCACCTCCAGCTCCATGTGCAGGGCAAGCCTTAGGGCTTCCAGAGAACTGGTAAAGCTGGGCACCGGCTGGGGACACCACTCAGATGGATCAATCCGCCGCGCTTGTTCATATACTTCATGATCTTCTCGGCATGCTCACGTTCCTCGTGGCTTGCCTGCAGAAAGAAGCCATGCAGACCCGGAGAACTAATGTCCGACCTGTCAAAGTGATAGGCCTAAGAGATGGGTTGGATTAGGAACTCGAGGTGTATATCAGATCTACAATGGGCCTCACCATGGCCAGGTATTGGTGGCACGCCTTCAGCTCCATGTTAATCTGATCGTTGAGCTTGCTCTCACAGCTCTTGGCAAAGTTCTGGCGCATCAGCATGCACATGTGACGACGTCCTAAACTACGGAAGGCCATTTCTATTCCCATTTATTTGCTTTAAATTTTTTGTTAATTTCATCTGAAAGCCAGAATACAAACAGAAGGGCAACTCAGTTGGCAGCTGTTGACGCCAGGTGTCGAGAGATTCGGATCCATCGATCTCCCAAAGGGGTCGTCACATCATCTCTCCCTATCCCCCGTCCTAGGTTGGAGTTCAAAGTGCTGCCGGGGGGCTCTGATTTCACTTAACTTCCACTTAGCAATACTCTGTACACAATAGTATATACAAATGTATATATATATATACATATATCTATGTGTCCAGATATGTTTGCTTTAACTTCAACAAGCACACACGGGGCCACGCTAAGTAAACCCAGTTATTGTCTTTTATTAAGTGAATGGAAGTCGACTTTTGTCCGAGTTTTGTATAATCTCAACGTTGCTCTTTCAGAGGGTATTGCCCTAGCTTTAGGTACCTAATATAATAACTAATGTTAATATATTAATTAATTTCACATCATTGAAAGAAGTGTACATTGCAGGCAAAGCTAAGAGAAGGAAAGATGGTAACAGAGCGCACAGAAGAGTGAATAGAAAGGAAACTAAGAGAGCTCCTTAAAATATTAAGAAAAATATGCATTACCAGCAAATTATAATTAAACATTTAAAGGGTATTTGTCAAGTCGATGCTCTGCACACATCACAGGGTATAAAACTCATATATTTTATACTTTATGATTTTTTTTCAAAGGAAGTTAACTTAAGGTTTTTGATGAGATGAGTGCTTTATTTTTTCGAGTGCTTCATTTTTTATTTTGTGGAACTTTGTTTTTTGTTATATTTAGCTTCAGGGTATTGACAATTTGACGGACACTCAAAAAAAGCTGAGCTTAAATTCTGAGACACGCGTGCGAATGAGTCGTAGGCATTATGATCGCAGCATATAACCATCCCCAAACTGACCACACACACACAACACTCATTACGCACACACCACAGAAATGGTGACTCTTAAAAACCATGTGCGCCTCGTAAAAAAGGCAATAATGAAGAAACAACTAAGCATTTTCACCATGCGGGAAAAACGAGACGGAGAAGAAAAACCTTTTAAGAGTTATGCAAATAAGCATAACCATGGGGATTTCAATATCTTAGCTGAGGATTAAACCTAGCTTGAAGAAATAATATAAGAAATACTTTTAATAAAAGGGAATTACTTTTCCAGAGACTTGAAACCAGTTATCAAGTCCCAGAAATGATTGAAGAAAAATGATCCACATCTTGGCGGAGGCAATTAACGAATTATGTTAATTGAGAAACAGGTTTAGTTACCACAAAATCAACCCAATAATTCCATATTAATCTTAATCTTTTAAGCTCGAAAGTCAGGTGTATATTTAATAATTAAAGCACATACATATTTCAATTACGTGTTTCCCGCCATTAAAGTTCAAATTGAGACGAGTGTGACAACTTCGGTGACACTTTTACATCACCTCCCAAAAACCTCCAAAAATTATGGCAAGACAATCCAGTTTGCGATGTCATAAAAACGTGCAACAAATTATTAACAATATAAAGACGTGAAATAAATGAAATATATATGTATAAACGCAAACCTCAGCATATAGAATTGAAAAGTAAAAAGAAAAGAAAATAATCAACATAAATTGCTGAACATGAGGTGGAAAAAAGCGTACGTACGCCATAAGAAAATATTTAATCGATTTGAGTCGTTTTTTTTGGCCAAAGAAATGTTAATTCATTTATAAAATATATGTACACAATGATAAAACGCAAAGTATATGAAATGTAGCATAAATAGGTGATTGAACATTAAGCTATGGTGTGACTAAATAATTTCCGTAATTTTTTTAGTTGAAAAATAACATTAAAATATATACATTTATGGTTTAATTTTTATTTACTTTGATATTTTAAATTGAAATTGATATAGCAATTGCTTGGCTTATATTAACCTTTTCCAATCAATTAATTAATTTGAAAAATTTACATTTAGATTAGAAAAAGCTATTTAAAAAACAATAATCACTTAAGGTCACAGGTATACCCTTACAGGGTATTATAATTTTAGTCAGAGGCCTGTAACACAGTGAAAGAGTCATTTCCGACCCCATAAATCATATATATTTTTGATCAGCGTTAACAGGGGAATCTTTCTAGGCATAAAAGAGAGAAACAAATTTTTGAAAACTTTTTCAATGTTTTTTTAAGCCGTTTTTTACATTATTAACAATTAGAAAAATCGACGAAAATTGGAATAGTTTAAAAATGTAATTTGAGTATGCAGATTTATTAACCTATTGAAAACTAGAACAGAACAGCTTTCCGAATCGAAATTAATGCATTTTTGGCTTTGTAGTGAGTTTTTTAAACATTGATTTGTTGAAAAAATTGTCATATAAAAATATCGAAATTCTACTAAAAAACGGAATTTTAATTTTAGTCAGAAGCTTGAAACGAAGTGAAGGAGTCATTTCCGACCCCTTAAACCATATATATTCTTGATCAGGATCAACAGGCGAATCTTTCTAGGGATGTAGTACGGAAACAAAATTTTTTTAAATTTTTTTAAATTTTATAAGGGGTCGTTAAAATTGTTAAAAATTGATAAAAAGTTTAATTTTTACCATTTTAAAATGAGTATGCAGTTTTGTTAACCATATAAAAACTAACATAGGTCTGCTTTCCAAATTAAAATTGATGTATTTTTTGAAGAGTTATGAGATTTCTAAATTCAAAGTTAATTGAAAAATACTCATATAAAATATTGGCAAATTTTACTATTTTAAGCTTGGATCGATTTCAGATAGGATCCTATATTTCATTTGCAAGCTGCAGGTGTATATAAACATCGGCATCCTGAAGTAGTTTCCTTTCTTGTTTTGTATTTAATTTAACAAATTCTCTGGAGAATAAAGAAAAACATTTACGCTACAAATAAATTAGTCACTTATTTTTCCTAGAATTCATTTTCTATAAAAATCGGACTAACGAGGAACCAGAGACAGGTTCTAATGGAACAAAAAATAAAGGAAATGTAAAGAGAACTCTGGTTACAAGTCATGGCTTTGTGCCCAATAAATAAATAACAATAAATAAATAAATAAAGAAATGGGCGAATTTCAGAGTCGATAAGGAAACTTAATCGAAAAGTACAAAACACAAAAAAAAAAACACTCACACACAAATCATATATAGAATGACGTCTGAAAAATTGTGAAAATCGGACACTAGGCAACAGGGTCTCCCAGTCTCAGTTCCCGGGTCTCAAGTGATCCAATCGGGGAGCAAAAGGGGTCATTGCACCCGGGAAATACTTTAAACAATATGTGAAACAAAAATGCTCGGTGTTAATTACAGTGCCTCCGCCTCGCAAACTATAACTGGTTGATTAAGAGGGTTTTTCTCTTGAAATCAGAAGAGGAGTCCCCACACATGTGTTTAACGATCCACAGAGCCCGACTTTTATGTGTATATATTTGGCTGTTTGAATATTAATTTAAGTTATGGCATTGAATATTTCTTGCTTAATTGAAGGGGTTAGTTACTAGGTTCTAAAATCCCAGCTGTCCAGTGTATGGTTTCGGCGATAAGCAGGAAGGTCAATAAATCGCTATCAGCACCAGGCACTGATGTCCGATGCCTGATATATGAGACATGAGACGACGACGACGACATATTTGCATTTTTCGGTTAACATTTCAGGGGTATAGGGGGATTTACGGAATCGGATATTGGGGGCCTTGGGAGTTTTTAATATTTTACAAAACAATATAGAGCTTAAGGGAATTAAATCCAACAAAAATCTTTAGTTTATATCATTATAATAAGTGATATTAATAAATTCATAATTGTTTCAAAACATAAACCGTTTTAAAAGATGTATAATCGATTAAAAAAGCCATCTAATTATATCAAATTTAGTGGAGTGTAATTAAAAAGAGTTGGAATCAATAATAAACATATATTTTCCCACTTATAGCTGGCAAAACTTCAATATTCAAAGACTCCTAATTATTTTCACAGCTCTATTGAAAACTTTTCGTAACTTAACTGTCAATTAAATTGTATTAAAACTAATAAAAATGATTGTATGTACATTTATGAATTAATGGGTTCTCATGCTAAAATGTTAATATATATTTAAGTGAAACGTTTACTTGATTTGAATCAGGATATACGGAAAATTTCAACATCTGCATGTACTGAAAACGAAATATGATAAATGAGCAAATAAATATGGAATTATTATCTCATGCGGCTAATTAGATAATTATCTAAATTGTACATTATTATTATATATATAAAGAATATATTAGAGAGAGTGAGAGATCTGCTCAATTTTGTAAATTCTCCTATTTTTCATATTTATATTTTTCTGCTTTTAAAGGCATATGACTTTTAACGTAATTTATAATCGGTATCAGGTGTAAATAACAATAATAACTTTTAAGAAGGCTCAGCGTAAAGAATTTCGAACATAAAAAAATAATATTCTTTTATAAATGTAATTAAATAATTTATAGAACACATACCGGCTTTTTGGCCTCAAGCGGCTTATTGATTAGGTTCAAATGGGGCTCAAAATCCTGGCCAAAGCGCTCGATCAGCCGATTCTCGGCGGCCTCCTGCGGACACTCCTCCTGCTCTACCAGCTTCCACATGCCCTCCGGGATATAGCACCTGAGAACGATGCCCAGGAGCACGCCGATGACGATGTAGTGCTTCCCGCTCAGCGCAGCGACCGGTCTCCGCATGTTTCCCAACTCTCTCTCTCTCTCTCTCTCTCTTGCCACTACTCCTTCCAGATGTAGATATGTGCGTGCGTGCGTGTGTGTGCAGAGGATATTGGAAGAGAGATGGCAATGGCAATGGCAATGGCAATGAAAGGGAGATGAAGATGCACAGAGAGGATGGGTGAGCGATGCGTGCAAGAGGAGGAGCAAGAAAGAACGGAGAAACTGGTGTGCAGAGGGAGAGTTTAAGCCAATTGTCATATGCACATTTTCGCTGCTTCTTATGGCACTTGTTGCTGCTGCTGTTGCTTCGCCTCCTTTTTGGTTCCGCTTCGATTGCTGTTTCTCCTTCTGGTTTTTCCCTGCTTTGCCTTTCCTTGATCTGCGCTCGCCTTCTTCTTGGATTCCAACAAGTGCGCTTGCCGCCGGGCCTGTTTATTTTATTTTTGGCACTTTTCGCTCTCTTTTCGCCGCACGCACTTCTTTCGTCGCTCTCTTCGCGGTTTCCTTTCTTTCATTTTCGATACATTTTCCGTTCAGAACACCGCACTGGGATAGTTCATTTATTTCACTCTTCTTTTCACACCAAACAATTTTTGCCGCAAAAATTTCGTTTCGCTTCCAGCGCGCGCGGGGATGCGGGGTTAGTGAGCGGAAAAAAATAATAAAAAAATTCGAGCGCCGGACCGGTTCCACTGCGCGAAAAGTAAACAATAAATTAGAGGTGGAAGTTGAGGTGAGCAAAACATCGATGATATCATCGATGCATCGTTTTTTAAATCATCGATGTTTTCTTTTACCATCGATGTTTCTGTGCCGTCACTATCGGGATCAGTGGGGCAGTAGCCATTTATAGTCATTAGGCTGACCACACTTGTCACACAAACTTAGAAGAATTAACAGAAAAAAGCTGGAAGCCGACAGAAAATTTTAATATTAGCTTAAAAATAAAATAAGAGTAGTGAAACAATAGTCTGGCAGCACCGGATCTCGATTTCATTGTCAATTGCTATCAATAGGCGTTATCGATATTGATTTCCAACATCGATATTATAAGGTGGCCGGACTCCCTAAGCCGGGGCGTTGCCAGCCCGCGCAACTGTCACAACTAAATTATATTAAATATATTACTTTAAAAATATTAATTTTAATTTTTTTTCTTACAAAACCGCAATGGTTTTTTTGTAAACAATTTATATAAATATATAAATTTATAAAATTTTTATTTTATTAATTAATTAATTTTTAATTAACATTAACATACAGTAACTAAATTAAATTAAATTTAACTAAATTATCTTCAACCGGAACATATAAACATAATAATATATTTAAATATTTTTTATCACAATTACCAGTTGAGCAGATGAAGCCTTGTGTGGTAATATACGAATGAAGCATTAGTTGCTGAACTATCGAAATACAATTTTGCAAAAAGTATTATTTTTATTATAATCTATTTCTAAAAAGGCCATTTCGGGCCCCTTTATTCATTAAAATTTATATAAATATAGTAAGTAATAAATTTTTTATTTTAATAATTAATTAATTTTTTAATAAAAATTAACATACAATAATTACATTTGTCTGTTTTTTGTACACCCCTGCAAGGTCTTTTTAGACCGGAATATATAAACATAATAATATATTTAAATATTTTTTATCACAATTACCAGTTGAGAAGATGAAGCCTTGTGTGGTAATATGCGAATAGAGGATTAGTTGCTGAACTATCGAAATACAACTTAGCAAAAAGTTTTATTTTTAATATTATCCATTTCTAAGCAGGCCCCTGTATTCATTTAAATCTAAGTTTCATAAAATTAGAATTAAAATTAAAAAAACACAACAATTTTACAAAAATAAGAAGAATAACTAATTCTTAACTTAAAAACAGAAAAGTTTACAAAATTTAACATGGTTATTTTTTAACCCATATCTTATCTAAAATATATTTTTTAATTCAAGTTTTCGATTTTCAAATTTTAATTTTAATTTTAGCGACAATTCTGCATTCTGACCCACTTTCCGAGGGTATAAGAGACCATATGTAGATTTTTCCGTCACCTCGTAGAGGCTATAATTTTTTAAATCATTAACTGTGTAATACGTAATATGCACAATAAATACAATTATTATTATTACATTAAATTAATAAATAATACTACCGATGTATGGTACGATCGATACTATCGAGACATCGCTTTTAGTTGCGCCTCTGAAAAAGGCGCCAAAACGGGTAGGCACGCAGCTGTAAATAGCATTTCGCGGACACAAACAACAAATTGCGCGTTCAGTTTACACCTCTTTTTGGAACTCGTTTATTTACCGAAAAAGCAAACAGCCAAATACCATGGATGTAGCAGATGCTCAAGTCGGCCAGCTGCGCGTCAAAGACGAGGTGGGCATCCGCGCCCAGAAGCTGTTCCAGGATTTTCTCGAGGAGTTCAAGGAGGACGGCGAGATCAAGTACACGCGGCCGGCGGCCAGTTTGGAGTCGCCCGATCGCTGCACCCTCGAGGTGAGCTTCGAGGATGTGGAGAAGTACGACCAGAACCTGGCGACGGCCATCATCGAAGAGTACTACCACATCTACCCATTCCTGTGCCAATCGGTGTCCAACTATGTCAAGGATCGCATCGGCTTGAAGACCAGCAAGGACTGCTATGTGGCTTTTACGGAGGTGCCCACGCGTCACAAGGTGCGCGATCTGACCACCTCCAAGATCGGCACGCTGATCCGCATTTCCGGCCAGGTGGTGCGCACGCATCCCGTTCATCCAGAGCTCGTTTCGGGCACGTTTATGTGTCTGGACTGCCAGACGGAGATCCGGAATGTCGAGCAGCAGTTTAAGTTCACCAACCCGACCATTTGCCGGAATCCCGTCTGCTCCAATCGTCGTCGCTTCATGCTGGACGTGGAGAAGAGCCTGTTCTTGGACTTCCAGAAGATACGCATCCAGGAGACACAGGCGGAGCTGCCACGGGGCTGCATACCGCGCGCCGTGGAGATTATCCTGCGCTCGGAGCTGGTGGAGACCGTCCAGGCCGGTGATCGTTACGACTTCACCGGTACCCTGATTGTCGTCCCAGACGTCAGTGTGCTGGCCACGGCAGGCACCAAGACGGAAACGGGTTCTCGCCACAAGCCCGGCGAGGGCATGGAGGGTGTGACCGGCTTGAAAGCTCTTGGAATGCGTGAGCTTAACTACCGCATGGCCTTCCTCGCTTGCAGCGTTCAGGCCACAACGGCTCGGTTTGGTGGCACGGATCTGCCCATGTCGGAGGTCACCGCAGAGGACATGAAGAAGCAGATGACGGACGCCGAATGGCACAAGATCTACGAGATGTCCAAGGACCGAAATCTGTACCAGAATCTTATCAGCAGCCTCTTTCCATCGATCTATGGAAATGACGAGGTGAAGCGAGGCATACTCCTGCAGCTGTTTGGCGGCGTGGCCAAGACCACTACGGAGAAGACCTCCCTGCGTGGCGATGTCAATGTGTGCATCGTGGGCGACCCGAGTACGGCCAAGTCGCAGTTCCTCAAGCAGGTCTCGGATTTCTCGCCACGTGCTATTTATACCTCCGGCAAGGCCTCATCGGCGGCGGGTCTGACAGCTGCCGTGGTTCGTGACGAGGAGAGCTTCGACTTTGTGATTGAGGCGGGCGCCCTGATGTTGGCAGACAATGGAATCTGCTGCATTGACGAGTTCGATAAGATGGATCAGCGCGACCAGGTGGCCATACACGAGGCCATGGAGCAGCAGACCATTTCGATTGCTCGTGCCGGCGTCCGGGCCACCCTGAATGCCCGCACATCGATTCTGGCCGCCGCCAACCCGATCAACGGTCGCTACGATCGCTCCAAGAGCCTGCAGCAGAATATACAACTCTCGGCACCGATTATGTCCCGCTTTGATCTCTTCTTTATCCTGGTCGACGAGTGCAACGAGGTGGTGGACTATGCCATTGCCCGTAAGATTGTCGATCTGCACTCGAACATTGAGGAGTCTGTGGAGCGGGCCTACACCCGCGAAGAGGTGCTGCGCTATGTGACCTTTGCCCGTCAGTTCAAGCCTGTTATAGGTCAGGAGGCCGGTCGCCTGCTCGTGGAGAACTATGGACACTTGAGGCAACGCGACACAGGCACGGCGGGGCGAAGCACCTGGCGGATTACGGTGCGCCAGCTGGAGTCCATGATACGGCTGAGCGAGGCCATGGCCAAGCTGGAGTGCTCCAATCGTGTGCTCGAACGACACGTCAAGGAGGCCTTCCGGCTGCTCAACAAGTCCATCATCCGCGTGGAACAGCCCGACATCCATTTGGATGATGATCAGGACCAGGCTCTCGATATGGATATTGATGATGGCATTCAGCCAGACCTGGATATGGAGAACAATGGAGCTGCCGCCAATATTGACACCGAGGGAGGGGCCTCTGTTCCGCAAAAGAAGAAGTTCACGCTGTCGTTCGAGGATTACAAGAACCTCTCCACAATGCTGGTGCTGCACATGCGCGGCGAGGAGGCACGCTGCGAGGTGGAGGGCACCGACACCGGCATGAAGCGCAGCGACGTTGTCACTTGGTATCTGGAACAGGTGGCCGAGCAGATCGAGTCCGAGGATGAGCTTATCTCGCGCAAGAACCTCATCGAGAAGCTAATCGATCGCCTGATCTACCACGACCAAGTGATCATTCCCCTCAAGACCAGCTCGCTGAAGCCGCAATCTAAAGGTAAGGGCGACGAGGAGCCGCCGACCGAAGACGATCCGCTGTTGGTGGTGCATCCCAACTACATTGTGGAGTAACATCCGCCACTTTCAATTTTTTTTCCATTATTGTTAGTCCTAAGCCTAGACCTAAGCTAAGAGTCGTCCAAATAAAGGTTAATCTCTAGTTTCTTTCCCTTTTAATTGTACAGAATATGCGTGGCTAGATGATACAAGAAGTCGGAGATGGATGTTCATTTCTACTTCTCAAAGGTGTAGTGCTTGACGCCATCGCCAGGATACTGCTTGGCGGCCACCGGGCGGTACATCTTCTTGTCCTCCAGCCAATAGTACAAGGCCAGGCAGCCGGACATCACGCCGGCAAAGCACAGGAAGTAGTAGGAGTTTTGGTAGCGGGGCTGCTCCGCCTGCGAGTAACGATCCTCGCTGTACAGATCGTGATCCGCTGAAATCTATCAGGAAAATACTGCTTTAGTGGCTGCATCAAGAGCTTCTATGCTGTACTCACAGGCTCGTGATGGTTGCGCTTGTGCTCCGGATAGTCCCAGGGATAGTAGCTGTCCTTGGCCTCGACGCCCAGGCCGCCGCCGACTTTTGGATAATCTCCATAGCCCAGGCCGTCGTCCGCATACGGCCTGTACTCCTCCGGCAGCAGATAGTACTTTTTGGCTGCCTCCAGGCGCTCCTTCTCCGTCTTCGGGTACGGGGCGGGCTTGAAGTCCTTGTTCCAACCAGCCACTGGTCAGGCGGAAGGCAGGGGGAGCAATGAAAAGGAGAAACAAAAAACGAGACAAAGTTACGTAAACAAAAACAGAATAAAGCTGACCTTCTCGGGCCCGGTTAGAGGCTTTGCCGATACTTACTGCTGCGCACCGCCTGGCGGGCCAAAGCTGGATTGGCGACGCAGAGCTTCTGGGCCAGGCACACGGTTTTCACAAACGCCGACATCGCAGGCTCTCTTCGAAATTCGCAATATTTTCTTACAACAAAGTCGGAGGAGGCGAGAGACAACAGCTGTTGGGCAGCTGTGGATGGTCAGCCACCGATAGTCGTTATCGCCTATCGATGTTTCTGGGAAAATCGTTAGTATTTATTATTGTCAAAGTTAACGCTATATGTGTTACTGAGAAAAGGTTTTAAATTTCTTATAGTAGATGCCAAACCAACATGATTATCAGTGTTTTTTCGTTGTGTTTATTGAAGTATTTTGAATGGCCTTACCTATCGATAGCGTTGTGCCTATCGGCCCGCTGCTGGTTTTGTTGTTGCGGCGCGAGAAAGTGATCGAGAGCGCGAAAAAGTTGGCCAGAATTTCTTGCTGCTAATAAACAACTAATAAAAGTAACTGGAAAAATGGTGCTACCGCTTCTGCAGCGTTCCTCGCTCCGCTCTGTGCAACAGTTGGCCAAACCTTGGGCCGCGTCCGCCGGCAGCCAGCGTCTGGTAAGGATTGCACACAAGTGTGTCCCCGTTTCCCCCCGCACCCACACCCGCCGTCGCCTGTGGGCCTTATGTAATGGCTGCTGCTGTCGTTGCACTTCTTCTGGGCAACAAAACCATAAAACTCTAAGCCATTTGTCCTTTAATTAACTTAATTAGTGCTACATGATAGGTGGGAATAACAAATAACCGGCGTTTCGTAATCATTACACAATGGAAGCATCCACATCCAGAGAGTGCGCCTGGAAAGTGCACACAAAATCTCCCTTGCTCGCTCCCCCGGGAAGCATATTGAGTGAAACGCTCTTCACTCCAATTAGATTGATTTTTCGCACTCACTCTTCCACACTTTCCAGCTGCTTACTTCTTGAGTCACATGTGAAGCAGCCAAAACAAACAGCAAAAAAAAAACTCACAAAACTCGAGAAACAAGTTGTAATTCGGTGAAAAAAACAAGAAATGTGTGCCGGCAATTGAATTCTAAACCGGTTAATTGCTTATTCATGGCTTTGGCAGCAGCCGACACCTGAAATACTCTCCCTTTTCTGCTCTGATTACCAGGGTCTTGCTCTCATGCTGGTAAGGAGGTGTGTCCGGCACTCGTGATAGTTCCAGTCTGCCGGCTTAGCTCTCAGATAGTGGAAGTCGTTCAGAGATTAAAAAAAATCACTCATTAGACACAATCAGTGGCAAAAGAATAGCTTTTGCAGGGTTTAAGGTTAATCGGGGGTTTTCAAATTGACAAACCTTTAATAATTACTTTGATTTATTTTTCTTTTATACAAATTAACGAATTTATTTAATTTTATATTCAAAATAATGGGAAAAACAATACCTTTTACTCCACAGATAAGAAATTCTTAATAAGATTTCCACAATAGGGCCAGACCCAAGCTGATTAGCCAAGCAAGCACCCCATGCTGGGAAGAGTCGTCGTCGTCACCCCTCCTCTTCCATTTCGCACTTGACAACTCTGCTGAGCAATGATTTTATTTTATTATGTATTTTTTCCTGACATTTCCGTCGAGAGCCTCGTTTCGACTCAAGTTTTATAGCCGCTCCGTCGCTTATCGCCTCAGTCACCTCTGAGCAGCAGCCGTGGACGAGTGGTCGTCCTCTGATTTCAGTTATCTCTAGCCTATATCTCTCGCATAATGGTGGGGATCGGATCGGATCTCCCTTTAAAAGCTCACACTCAATTCTGATTATTTTCCTCCCTCTCTCTTTCTCTTTCAGGCCTCCCAGGATTTCCGCGTGGAAAGCGACACCTTTGGCGAGCTGAAGGTGCCCGCGGACAAGTACTATGGCGCCCAGACGATGCGCTCCCAGATCAACTTTCCCATTGGTGGGGCCACCGAGCGGATGCCAGTGAGTGTATAGCCTTTGTTGGCTTACCAAAAAGAAAACCTATATTTAGCTGACTCAGGGCAGTAGCTAGTTTTAGCACCGATAAAACAAATTAACAGGCTTTAAAATGTGTGTTTAAGAGTACAAAATGGGTGCTAAATCTTCTGTATTATCTAAAAGGCATTCAAGTTAAGGCGTCACAAGATTTATTTATTTATGTTATTGCTTCTCAGAGATCAGTTGAGTACATTTCCTTATATGGAAAAGAGAAAGCTAGGTTTCCAAAGAAAAATCCAATACAATTATATTTCCATATTAATTAATCATATTAACTAAATCACATTTTCTTGCTATCCTTAGAAACCCGTGGTCCAGGCTATGGGCATACTGAAGAAGGCCGCCGCCGAGGTGAACAAGGAGTTCGGCCTGGACACCAAGGTGAGCGAAGCCATCTCCAAGGCAGCCGATGATGTGATCTCCGGCAAGCTGTACGATGATCATTTCCCGCTGGTCATCTGGCAGACGGGCTCCGGCACCCAGAGCAACATGAATGTGAACGAGGTGAGCTTTCTCTCTCTTTGCATTTTTCTATTCCTCACTAAAAGCCTTTGATTTCGTCCTTTTCAGGTGATTAGCAATCGCGCCATTGAGCTGCTGGGTGGCACTCTGGGCTCCAAGACGCCAGTTCATCCGAACGACCATGTCAACAAGTCGCAGAGCTCCAATGACACCTTCCCCACCGCCATCCACATTTCGGTGGCCCTGGAGCTGAACAATAACCTCAAGCCGGCCATCAAGACGCTGCACGATGCTCTGAAGGCCAAGTCGGAGGAGTTTAAGGACATCATCAAGATCGGTCGCACACACACCATGGACGCCGTACCTTTGACCCTGGGCCAGGAGTTCAGCGGCTATGCCCAGCAGCTGGCCTATGCCCAGGAGCGCATTGATGCCTGCCTGCCGCGCGTCTACGAGCTGGCCCTGGGTGGCACTGCCGTGGGCACTGGTCTGAATACCCGCAAGGGTTTCGCCGAGAAGTGCGCCGCCAAGATTGCCCAACTCACCAACCTGCCCTTCGTGACGGCGCCTAACAAGTTCGAGGCGCTGGCCGCCCGCGACGCCATGGTGGAGGTTCATGGCGTCCTCAACACTATCGCCGTCAGTCTGATGAAGATTGCCAACGATATCCGATTTCTGGGCTCGGGTCCGCGTTGCGGCCTCGGCGAGTTGTCGCTGCCGGAAAACGAGCCCGGTAGCTCCATTATGCCCGGCAAGGTGAACCCCACTCAGTGCGAATCGCTGACCATGCTGTCTGCTCAGGTGATGGGCAACCAAGTGGCGGTGACCATTGGCGGCTCCAACGGCCACTTTGAGCTGAACGTCTTCAAGCCACTGATTGTGTCCAATGTGCTGCGCTCCATCCGACTGCTGTGTAAGTAAATTGAAAGAGAGCGAGACACCCGCTGCTCTCTTTTGAAGAGGGAAGTGCTAGGTCACATTGGTTCTCTGTTCTCCAGCTTTGTGCATTCAGTTACTAATTAAACTTCGACTGCTCTTTTCCAGCCGATGGCAGCCGCACCTTCACTGCCAACTGCGTGAACGGCATCCAGGCGAACCGCGAGAACATTGCCAAGATCATGAACGAATCCCTCATGTTGGTGACGGCCCTTAATCCTCATATTGGCTACGACAAGGCCGCCAAGATCGCGAAGACGGCGCACAAGAATGGAACGACCCTCAAGGAGGAAGCCATCAACCTGGGCTACCTCACTGAGCAGCAGTTCAACGAGTGGGTGCGCCCCGAGCAGATGCTGGGACCCAAGTAGGCCCTACGAAGTAGGACTACATTGTCGCCTCACACACTGTATCGGACTCACACACACACTCTGACCCACAACAACTGAATAAAACTGAGAAAATGCTGAAGCACATCGTGGCCACTGTCCAGCCGGGCCATGTCTTTCTGGCCCGGCGTCATTTCTGGGAGGTGGTGGACGTGCGGGCGGAAAAGGTGGGTAGGACACGGCGCTTCTTCCACAAGAACAACAAGAAGAAGGAGGGGGACAAGAACACGTTCCGGCTGGAGAAGGACACCTTCGGGGAGCTAAAGGTGCCGGCGAACAGGCTGTATGGAGCTCAAACAATGCGCTCCAAGATGAACTTCCCCATTGGCGGGTACGCCGAGACCATGCCGGTAGGTAGTAGCACCTGAGCGATAGCAGACACTCCTGATCCTGCTTTTAACTGCCCGCCTAGATGCCCCTGATCCAGGCCATGGGCATACTGAAGAAGGCCTGTGCCGAGGTGAACAGGAACTTTGGCCTGGATCCGCAGATATCCGAAGTGGTGTCCTGTGCCTGCGACGACGTCATATCGGGCAAGTTCTACAGGCAGGGTCACTTTCCGCTGGTCATCTGGCAGACGGGATCCGGCACCCAGAGCAACATGAACGCTAATGAGGTGAGCCGGCGCTTGGGCTAAGCCCAGACTGTGATCATTCCCTTGCACCTTCTTTCTAGGTTATCAGCAACGCTGCCATCCGCATGCTGGGCGGCGAGCTGGGCTCCAAGACACCAGTGCACCCGAACGACCATGTAAACAAGTCGCAGAGCTCCAACGATACATTCCCCACAGCCATACACATCTGCGTGGCCATGGAGCTGAACGAGCGACTTATTCCGTCGGTGATGCACCTGCGAGATGCCCTTAAAGCCAAGTCAAACGAGTTCAAGGACATCATCAAGATCGGACGAACGCATATGATGGACGCCGTGCCGTTGACACTAGGCCAGGAGTTCAGTGGCTTTGCCCAACAGCTGACCTACGGTCTGGACAGGATCACGGGCTGCCTGCCGCGTGTCTACGAGCTGGCCATAGGCGGCACCGCTGTCGGTACTGGGCTGAACACACAAAAGGGCTTCGCCGAGCAGGTGGCCAAGCGAATTGGGGAGCTCACCAGCCTGCCCTTCGTGTCGGCGCCAAACAAGTTCGAGGCGCTGGCCGCTCGCGACGCCATGGTGGAGGTTCATGGCGTCCTCAACACGATCGCAGTCAGTCTGATGAAGATTGCCAATGATATTCGTTTCCTGGGCTCGGGTCCGCGTTGCGGCCTCGGTGAGCTGTCGCTGCCGGAGAACGAACCTGGTAGCTCCATCATGCCTGGCAAAGTGAACCCGACGCAGTGCGAATCGATGACCATGCTGTGTGCACAGGTGATGGGCAACCAGGTGGCGGTGACAATTGGCGGCGCCAACGGCCACTTCCAGCTGAACGTCTTCAAGCCGTTGATTGTGTCCAATGTGCTGCGCTCCATCCGGTTGCTAGGTGAGTAGTCCCCATCTCCATTCGCTGCTCAAGCAGCTCAACCCTCTCCTGGACAGGTGACGGTTGCATGTCCTTTAGCAATAACTGTGTGGAGGGGGTTAAGGCCAACAAGGACGTCATCGACAAGATCATGAACGAGTCCTTGATGCTGGTGACGGCCCTCAATCCGCACATTGGATACGACAAGGCCGCCCAGATCGCCAAGACGGCGCACGCGAACAAGACGACGCTGAAGGAGGAGGCCCTCAAGACCGGCATTACCGAGGAGCAGTTCAATGAGTGGGTCGACCCCAGGAAGATGCTGGGACCCAAATAGTCAGAAACTTATCTTGCAGACCTATTAATTCTAAATTTTACGTTTTTAGTAACGTTTAGTAATTTCGGCGGTAAGAAATTGTAAGTTTTCAGTGTGACCACACCAAAGCTTTCATGGCTTGAACTATTAAGGGCTGTCGTTGACCGTATTCTTATTTAATTTTAATGTTTTTAATTGTATTAACGTATTTATAATTTCACTTATGTGAAAACTAATAAATATATAAAATTTTAAAAATTATTTCCAGTTTATAACTTGGTTGAGTTCTTTGCTAAATTCATAACATTGTGGTAACATTGGTCAGTGCTGTATGTGGTCACACTGTTCGTACTGGTTTTAAGTGTTTTTCTTTGTTTTTATCACGAAATCCTGCTCTTCGGCGAGCAAAAAAAAGTGCTTTAAAAATTAAAACCAGCAGCCGTTTTTATATCTGTGTCGAGCACATGTGTTATACAGCCATAAATTAAGTTTGCAGCCAGAGCTGAAAAGCCGATTATCTAACGAAAAATTATCGATGTATTAACGATTCGAAGTTCGAACGCAAGCAAAGCAACCCCAAGTGATTAAGTCAGCCAGCAAGGCAAGTCGGCTTTCGTAAATTATCTGTCCGGACCAACTACTGCTCAAAATCTATTCCCCCTTCTCTTGCCCCCTTGACAATAGAGATAACTTATTTTTCTAAATAGAACCATAAAACCTTTCGGCTAGGATTGTTCGACAGACCGTTTTGCCTTGCAGCACCCCGCCCCACCAACCGCTGTCGGCCTTGCAACATCAAATTTGCGACGCAAAAACAAAACACACACACACCGATACACCGCCCGCACACCAGCTGTTTTGTTATCGAGTTATCGATCACACACATGAGCGACAGTGACCGCGAGGAAAAAGAGGAAGAGCGATAAACGAAAAAAGACCAGAAACGGAATATAAAAGGTGAATTTTTTTAAGTTAAAGGTGAAAATTGATCTTGATGGTCTTTCCTGGGACCATTTGCAGGTCCGGGCGGGCGGAAAGATGTCTGTGAGACTGTTGACCGTGCGACTGATCAAACATGGTCGCTACATTTTGCGCAGCTACTGTAAACGTGACATACACGCCAACATTTTGGACCAAAACCAAGTGAGGACAAGAAGCAAGCGAGGCTTTCCCCTACCCTCCAGCGCCGCCAATGTCGTGCGGGTAAGTTACTGTCGCTCCTGTTGCACAATCAAGCCCTGTTAATCCGCCGTTACCCCCGTCAGACCGCTGCACAGCCGTCGGCAGCAAAGTCAGCGCCCAATCCGGCCACTGTCACGCCCATTGCTCCGCTGCAGAACAGCAATGGCCTGTTCCGCGTCGGCCAGCATGCACGAAAACTCTTCATCGACAACATCCTCAGCCGGGTTACCACCCAGTACTCGGAGGAGCTGCGCCAGCGAGCCACACGCAGGCTCTTCTTCGGCGACTCAGCTCCATTCTTTGCCTTGGTTGGCGTCAGCCTGGCCTCTGGCACGGGGGTGCTGAGCAAAGAGGATGAGCTGGAGGGCGTGTGCTGGGAGATACGCGAGGCGGCCAGTCGCCTGCAGAGCGCCTGGAATCGTGATGGGATCTCCGAGAACCTGGACAGTAAGTTTACCATTGATAACTTGGATGTTGGGCCGGCCATAGCCAAGGGATGTGCGGCGGTTGTCTACGCGGCCAACTTTAAGAAGGAGGATGCCTCAGCGAACCTTGATGCGAAGGCACTTGAGTCTACACTGGATCCTGCTGCCCCCTTGCCGGTGCCAGCCATGGCCCCCAATAGCTGGACTACCAGGGAGATGATGTCGCCTCTGCAGAACATGTCCCGCTTCGTGCACAACTTTGGCGGCTCCGTGGACAACATATTTCAATATAGCCAGCCCTCGGCGGCGAGTGACTTTGTGGGCGAACTGGAGAAGCAGCAAGAGGAACAGCAGCAGCAGCAGCCAGCGCATAATCTCTTGGCGGAGGCAAGACTTAATCCCTCCACGGATAACTATCCGCTGGCCCTGAAGATGATGTTCAACTATGACATCCAGAGCAACGCCCTGTCCATACTCCGAGCCATGTACAAGGAGACGGTGCCAGCACGTCAACGTCGCATGAATCCTGCTGCCGAGGAGTGGGAGCGTCTCTTGCAGAACCAAACCCTAACCCTGCCGCCGCATCCGAACATTGTCTGCATGTTCGGTTTCTTTTGCGACGAGGTAGGCAACTTTCCTGATGGAAATGTCCTGTATCCGGTGGCCCAGCCCCAGAGGATCAATCCGCACGGCTATGGACGAAACATGTCGCTGTATCTGCTGATGAAACGCTACGATCACAGCCTGCGCGGCCTCCTCGACACCCAGGAGCTGAGCACCCGCACCCGGATTCTTTTACTAGCTCAGATGCTTGAGGCCGTCACCCATTTGAGCCGTCATGGCGTCGCCCATCGTGATCTCAAGTCGGACAATGTACTGATCGATCTACAAGACGATGCCTCCGCCGTACTGGTGCTCTCCGATTTCGGCTGCTGCCTGGCGGACAAAATCCACGGCCTGCGTCTGCCCTATGTCTCCCACGACATTGACAAGGGCGGGAATGCAGCGTTGATGGCGCCGGAGATTATCAACATGGTCCCCGGCCCCTTTGCCGTGCTCAACTACGACAAGGCGGATTTGTGGGCATGCGGAGCCCTGGCCTACGAGATCTTTGGCAGCCGCAATCCCTTCTATTCGAACAGCGGTGGCCTTGCCCTGGAGCGCGGAGAGCTGACCCATTCGCTGCGTAACAGCGACTATCGGCCGGAGCAGCTGCCGCCGATGAGCGATGCGTGCCCGCCACTGCTGCAGCAGCTGGTGTACAACATCCTCAATCCCAATCCATCCCGAAGGGTCAGTCCGGACATAGCGGCTAATGTGGTGCAGCTGTTCCTCTGGGCCCCCTCCAAGTGGCTCAAGGCGGGCGGCATGCCCAACAGCTCCGAGGTAAGGAGATTGATAACCAAGAGATTTACAAAACTTGACCACAAATTCCCCCTCTCTGGCAGATCCTCCAGTGGCTCCTTTCGCTGACCACCAAGCTGATGTGCGAGGGACGTCCTCAGCTTGACGGAGCATCACCAGTGTCTGCTAGCGGCAGGCGCGCCTACGTTGAATACCTTCTAATCTGCAGTTTCTTGGCACGCGCCCGTCTGCGTCGCATTCGCGGCGCCCTCAACTGGATCCAGAACGCTGTCGCGTTGTAGGTGGAGATGCATCCAGTCATCTACTTGTTACTCTGAGAAAATCAAATGAAAACGCGTGTGATACCAATATATTTTACATATGTATTTATAAAACAATTCAAAATTATCCGTGGAATTTAGTCGTGAAATTTACTCAGCTGCCGCCGCAGCTCGTTTAGTTGATTTAGTTCGTTCAGAAGCAACTGCTCTTCATGGAGCTCATCCGCCAAATCGGTAACTAACTGCTGGCAGCGCTCGGTAACAGCTTCAGCCTCCAAGGACGTCTGCTCAACATTCGCCATGGAGGTCTCAGATAATTTTTTAATATTGTTGTTCATCTCCTGAAGGATCTGCAGCTTCGAATCCAGGAATTCAACATGCGTATGCATTGCAGAGTTGGGTATTTGATTCTCTACTTAAATTCGTCAATGCCTCTTATGGTATTGTGTTTGATTTATTAAATTAATGCCCAAGAATTAAAATCAGAATTGTTTTCCTTTTTTGCCACACTAGAGATGGTAAAACTGAAATGCCTGACAAGTGATAACGATAGACCGATAACGGCGGAATATAGCTAAATTTAGCCTTTTACAGTTAAATTTAAAAAACAGCAATATTTTCCTATTTTGGTAAAAAAAATTATAATTTAAAAGCAATTTGATTTATTGGCTAAGTTCCACGCGACTAACGCAGAGTTTGTGGTCGTAAAATGAACAGGTGGCCATGGTGAACAGGCCATCGCTGTCTTCTGGCCCGCTGGGTGCCCAATCTGCACCATAGCAAATGCTTTTGTGCTCCTCATAGGCACCCAGCAGTCGTAGCGCCGGCTCTTTGGCATCCAGTTGCACCACACTGAAGTTTGTGTACATGCAGGCGGCCAGGATGAGGTCGGGCCGAACGGAATGCGGTTTGAGTCGCCAGATGCCGCCGCCCAGGTTGTGCTCGGCCAGCGTTCGCTTCATGGACCGGGTGTCGAACAGGCGCAGGTGCTCGTCGTAGCTGCCGGTGAGCAGATGGTGCTCGTGCCGCGGATGACTCAGTAGACAGGTGACGCCTGCCATGTGGGCACGATTAGTCCAGGCCCGCTGCTCCGTGCGCAGGTCGTGGGCCAGCAGAAGCATGTCGTCGCCGCCGCTATACAGTAGATGTGGCGACCAGCGGTCAAATGCACACGTCCAGGCCTCGAAGCCGTGAGCGGACCAGGAGCACTGGCGCGTTAGCCCGCCGTTGGGTGAGTATGCGAAGAGATTCAGGCCGCCCTTGGAATCGGAAATGGCCAGCTGAACCTGCTCCTTCTCCTCCTCCAGCTGCCGCCAGTCCAGTGCCAAGGCCAGTGGTTGCTCTTCTCCCTCCGCCTCCTTGAGCGACAGACACGTGCGTTTCCTGAGCTGCTTTTCGGCAGCGTCAAACTCGTACACCTCTAGTTCACCCACGGAGTTAACGGTGGCCAGCTGGGGTCCACAGTCGCTGCTCCAAGCTGGCAGCCACCTCATGTCCAGTATGGCAGCCGTTTCGATGCACTGCAGCCGCTCCAGCGTAGTTTCCTTTCCCTCCCCGAACTGATACAAGTACACACGGCCCTTGCGCGGACGCGGCCCTGACTGTCCCTCAGTGGCTTCTCCTTCCGCCTGGACCAGCTGGTAGGTGCCGCAGGCAAAGTATCCCGACTCCAGGCCATCTTGAGACAGCCACTCAACGGAATCCGCCGAGTATTCCGTATCTTCGCTGTGCAATGTTGTGAACAGCGCCATTGCCGGTGTTATCGATAACAGAACGAATATTCGATGACAGCACCAGGGCTGATTCATGGTGCCGCTATGCAAGGTGCTGCTCTTTTGATTTTATCATCTCTAGGCGTTTGTTTCTGTGAGAGCGAATCAGTCTTTAAAATAGATCTGCTCCAACCCAACATTTAGTTCCAACCTGAACATATCCTTAAAATAACCCAAACATCGATTTTATCTTATTAGATTTATTTGTTATTTTCGTTTTTTTTGTTTTGCTAATTTAAAAATTAATAGTTATTACATACAACTACTTAGTGCTCTGTTTACGCGCTACATATTCTGGATTAGGTTTAGTTGATCTCGTCACTCGCTTACCCCTCTAGTTTTGCTGCATGGCCTGCGATCCGGGTTCCAACTTCATCCTCGATTTGTAAGGGATCTCATTAGAGGGTTGGGGTCACTCTTGGGGGGCGTCACAGTACCCTGGAGACTGGCTTACACACAATAATAGCAGCAGCTATTGCACCTGACTCTTTCATCTGCTCTAGCTTTTTACATTCTCTAACACCGACGAAGGCAATGGCCTCGTCGACATACATTTAAAACAAGTTAAAAAAATCCTCTTAATCATAACTATAGACAATCGATTCGTGCAGATATCTTCTTCTCCTTCTCCTCCTTTTTCTCTTTGTGCAATCTGTCCTTCGCCTCCTATAGGCCACCATCGTTTAGACAGCTCTCCGCCTAGCGACTGGTGGCGTTGTGACGCCGCCGCGTTCCTCATTTGGTCTTCATGACGATGATCGGCTCGAGTATTTTCAGCATGTCGTTGTTCTCGGGCGCACCGGTTCCATTGCCGCCGCCAGAACCAGCTGCACCCGTTGCCGACGCTGCCGTGGATGTCACTGCCGCTGCTGCTCCGGCTGCTGTGCTGGCATAGTCCTTAACCACTTGCAGCTTGCTGAATCCCTGATGGGGCTGCTGGTGCTGACTGATGGACACCAGGCGGTGCTGGTGCTGCTGCTGCTGTTGATTCAACACAATCGCCTCGTGATGAGAGTGCTGCTGCTGGGCCAACTGTTGCAGCTCGTGCTGTTGCAGCTGCAGCGGCGGCAGCTCATTGGAGCCATCGCCATCATCCAGTTGGGAGTCCGTCTTTACCACGGTCACAAAGCCACCGCTGCCGCCGCCACCTCTATCGCTGCCCGTGGCCGTGCCCGGTTCGCTTTCATACAACTGTTCCGTGCTCGTGTCCTCGTCGTCGTCGTCGTCCTCCTCGGTTTTTGCCCGGAACTCGGCGCTGGTGGCACTGCTGCTCCTCGGCGTGTGACTCCGCATACGACGCATGCGCGCATACTCCGCCTGCTTGGATAAGCGCTCCTTACGCTCCTCCGTGTTCTCGGTGGCACGGATTTGGGCCCGCTTCAGGCGCGCCCGCTCACTGAGCTTCTGAAGTCGCGTTGCCCGCTGCTCAGGGGTTTCATTGGCCCGCACCGCTCGCTGATGGGCAGCCATCTTGTCCAGCCGTAGGCGCTTCTCCTCCTCCGTCTCGTATTTGTTCGCACCACTGCGTCGCGGCGTCACTGGAGTCCGGCTGTCGCCATCGGCCGTGGAATGTACATGTATCTGGCCGTGATTCTGCTGCTGTTGCTGCGTTGGCTGGGAGAGGGGCCTGCCCCTCCGCGGGGTGTTCGTGGCCAGCTGTGGAGCCGCCAGCATCTGGTTAAGCTCCTGCTCTAGGAGACTGTTCACCTTCAGCTGTTCCTCGTGGGCCAGCGGATGCTTTCGCGGCCTGCCCCTGCCCGGCGTAGTGGTCACAATATGTTGCTGTTGCTGCTGTGGTTGTTGCTGCTGCTGCTGCTCCTGTTGCTGCTGTTGCCCCAGTCCGGCGGTCACAGTTAGTGTAGGATTCGTGGTCGTGGCCAGTATGTTGTACTGCCCCCCGGTGGGGCTGTTGGCGCCACTGGCATTGGCAAAGTGGACCGGTGTAAAAGGTGGTGGCACCGCATTCGGTCCTATCCCGATCTGGAAGCCATTGTGGTACATCGGATAGTAGGTAGTGGTGGCGCCCGTTGCCGTTGTTCCAGCCGCCGTCGTCGTCGCCGTGGTGCTGCCGCTGGCCGTGTTGCCCGCCGGAAAGGTGGCCAAGTAGGGGAATTGGTTGTACAGCGGTGTTGTCGTCGTCGTTGCTGCCTTTAGCAGCTTCTGATGATCGCCTGTGGTCACAATAACCTTGGTCTCGCTGTGGCCCAGACTAACAGACCCGCTGTTATCGTTGCCTCCCGAACCCGGAGCATCGTTGTCCGACTGTAAAAGGGATAAGGAAAGAGAAAGAGAAAGGGAGAGAGAGAAAGAAAGAGAGAGAGAGAGAGGAAAGGCATTGGGTGAGTTGGTTCAGGTTCTAGTTCTATGTATTAGATGCTTAGCCACAACTTAAGCTTACTTTTACCTGATATTTAAGGTTCTACATTTTATATACTTTAAACTCATTTATTCAATTTCATATATTCACCTGAATCAGAGCTGCCCCATACAAACACCGGGTACCCTTTCTTCTGCCAACTTCATCTTTGTTTTGGTCAATATAAGCCTTCATCCTGGGAAACTTCTATCTTTTGTAGACTATATTTTTGATTTCTTGCTAGCCTGCTATATGTGATGATCAAGTTTCATGTGATTCTGTGACGAAAGGCTTTCCTTACCGGTGACATTTATTTTGAACATGAAAGGAAACTAACTTTGGGATCCCGAAGCCTATATACCCTTGAAGTTTGGGAATTAAACTATTACAAATTGGGTTTGCCTTACACAAATAAGTCAAAATACCACTAGATTAAAAATTTGTTTGTTTGTTTGTTTGTTTTGTGTCAGCTCTAGAGACTGTGCATTAAAGACGGTTCTTTCTGTTTTGTTTTAAAAGGACAAGAGATACAGGGAACACACACAACACACTTCATTAAATAAAATTCGTTGCTTTTCAAAGCGAATAAATATAAACGTTTTTCTTTGTATCTTAATTATTTTCTTTCATATTTTGCTTGGTTTTTACAAGGCTACATTTATCTACACTCTAGAAACTAGTTGGTTAAGTTATTATAATTAACAAAAAGGATAAACCAGAGTGAGGAGAAGGGAAAATTCTCCTTCGTTTGAGAAACAAGGCTGAGCAGGCACTCTTCCTTCACTTCCTTTTACATATGTATATTCTGTCTGTTTCAATTATCAATCCAGCAGTTGAGTTCGCCAACTGCAAGGAATAATATTTGAATGTTCTTTTCTTTGAGGTTTTTTTATTTTTTGGAAAATTTCATAGATTACCAGAGAGAGGAGAGAAAGAGCTTAACTGGCGCATCCAAAGCAACTTTGTGCTACTTTTCATTGGCTCTCTGCAACTGGAGAATCAGAGAGAAGAATCAACATGTATCGGGTGTTGTCAGAGGTTGCCTCTTAATAGGGAAGTATATCGAAGGGAAAAAATCTGCGATATGATAAATCGCACAATATCATATCGAAAATATCTACAACTTTAAACAAATTATTATGATGTGTGTGTGCGGTGTGTGTTGGGTTAGACCCCGCCGCTAAAGGACACTGTGTTCTGTACTCGCTTTTCAGATACCCGATCCCTTTTTCTTCTGTCGTTGCATACGCACCTGAAGTTCCTGCTTCTTGGCGGAATATTTGTGCGGATAGAGCTCCAACTGACCGCCGGCTCCTGTGGTCGCGATGCTAAAATGCGGCACATGCGCCTGCAGAAGCTTGGTGGCTGTGCCGCCTCCTTTGCCGGCGCCGCCGTCATCGCCATAAATTTGCTGGACAAAAATGCTACCGGGCTCGGTGCCTTCGAGCAGAGCGGCAGTCACCTGTTGCTGCTGGCCGGCGGCGATGGTGTATCGCTGCTGCTGCTGCTGCAACTGTTGCTGGCTTATCTGGTTCTGCTGCTGCTGGGAAGTCAGGGGCTCCTGCTTGAGCTGCATGGGACCGCGCAGGGATCCGGGTGTAAGGAACATGCCCTGGCCCATGTACTCCACTCCAGCCAGGGCCTGATGCTGCTGATAAGCGGCAGCAGTGACCAGATGCTGTTGCTGTTGATCCTCGGCCGTGGGCTGGGGCGTGCCAGCTCCTCCTCCGTTGTCCGATGTCGACGCCTGGTTTAGATTGATAGTGTGTTCGTTAGTACAATTGGCTGCCGCCGCTGCGGCTGCCGCTGCTGCAACAGCCAGCACCTGCTGCTGCTGTTGCTGCTGCTGCTGATGCTGCTGCTGGTGGTGCTGATGGTGCTGGTGCAGCTCCGTTGACGAGGAGGAGGACGACGTCGGCGTTGTGATTAGCACCGACGACGATCCACCGCCGCCGCCGCCACTGTGCACCACATGCTTCAGTACCTTCTTCTTTTCTCTGACCTTTTTGGCGTAGTCGTTCAGCTTTCTCAGTCTTTCCTTCCGCTCCTCCGGCGACTCATTGGCGATGCGCTGTCGCGCCCTGGCCGCCATCTCGGCCAGTCGCAGCTTGCGCTGATCGGACGTCTCGCTGGCCCGATACATGCGCATTCTTTCGGCCAGCTTGGCCAGACGCTTGGCCCGCTGTTCGGACGACTCCATAGCGCGGCGCAGGCGCTGCCTGGCCGCATTCCGCACCAACCTCATTGCCCGCTCAATCTCTGACTCGTTTTGTCGCCGCTGCCTATTGGCCTCGGCGTTACGTATCAAACGCTTTCGGTACTCCTCTTCACTTTCGCGCTGTCGCCGCTCGCGCATCCTTTCAGCATTTCTGGCCAGGCGGCGCTGGCGTGCCTCGGGGCTCTCGTTCCAGCGCTGCTGGTGTGTCGTGGAGGTGCCGGTAATGGAAGCTGAGCTGGCGCTAACGCTGCTCGGTGGTCCCAACGGTGTGGCTGTCGTTGCCTGTTGCACTTGCACTTGCTGCACCTGCTGCTGTTGTTGTTGCTTTAGAGTGGCGTGGGTGCCGTAGCCGGCGGGCAGAGTGAGCTGCAACTGCTGATGCTGGAACTGCAGCTGTTCCTGCTGCTGCTGGAGATGATGCTGCTGCTGTTGGAACTGATGATGCTGTACGTGCTGTTGCTGCTGCTGCTGTTGTTGCTGGAGCTGCAACTGTTGCTGGTGATGCGTGGATAGGGGTACCAACAGCGCTGAGGGATGCTCGATGAGAAGGCGTGTATTGGGTCCATTGATGGCCAGCACATGGGTCGCGTATTGCTGCTGCTGCTGTTGGTGGTGGTCAAGTGTGGGCTCTATTTTTATCCCATTGGGATCTGGTTCCATTATTCGTCAAAGCCTAAACAACAATCGAAATTGTCGTCTGCGGGTTCAGGTCAACAGGGTTGTTTTGTTTGTTCTTGTTTCTTGTTTCTTGCCCGTTGTGGCTGCTCTTCCCTAGCTTGTTCTTGTTCTTGCCGCCGCTTCGCTGATCGCCACAGGCGCTTCGATGGCATCTAATGGCCGAAACGGATCTGTCCGCTACCCGCGCTCCTCGTCGCTCTTTCTGTTTGTTTTGTTTTGGGGCCGTTTCCGAATTGGCGGCGGCGCCTGGTAGTTATATAAAGAAATATGTGTGTGCTGGCTGGCTGCGCTGCGCTCTCTCCACCGCTTGCGCCGTCTCTCCCAGTTCGCTTGCTGGGTCCGCAAAGTCTCTTTTTGTTACAATTGCGATGGCCTCTCCTTAGCGGCGATCGGTTTTTGCTTGTGCTTGTAATGGAACCGAGTCCCGGATCCACTTATCCACTTTGTTCCTTTTTCCTTAATTTCTTTTTCCTGCTTCTTATTCTTCTTCTTGCTCGATTGTAAGCGACAATTGGCGCCGCTGCTGCGCTCTGCCAGTGCTTCCAATCGATTTTTCACATGATTATACACACATACACACACTCAGTAAAATCAGCTCCGACACATACACGCACACCTGCACACCGCCAACGCATACAAGCGCGAAGCTTACGTGTGTGCGTGGTTTTTTCCGCTCCTATTTTTGCCTTTCGCACAAAGATCTTTGTTGTATTTGCTTTCCTCTTCTTTCGCCAAAGTTTTGCATTCATTAATGGCCCCCAATCATTTGGTGGCGCCGCTCCAAGCCGTGCTCCTGATCGGGGTGCGCAATGTGAAGAAGAAGATGCGAGCTTTGGCTGCCGGGACTGGGGATGTCGGCATCGCCTCACATATAAATCCGCCACACATCAGCGGCCGCCGCGCTTGTTTTGGTAACCAGCGCCATCAAATAAGAGCCGCCTGCTGCTCACCGTGATGTGTCCAACGAGTTAGGTGGGGGCAAAAACGCGCTAAATTTCCGGCAATACGCGCAGGCAAATATTGCGCCGTCAACAAACACACATTAAAAAATAACCAAAAAGTGTGTATGTATATATTGCTGCGTCTGCTTGTCGTCTACTTCTCGATTACCCGGGAGAGAAACTTGTATCGATATGAAAAGTATCGCAAAAACTATCTGGGTGTATGCGATACTTTTTCCTTGCAGTAAGAGCAAAACATAAAATGCACCCCCTGTCCATACTAAAGTTTCGTTTGGATACGTTTTGTTATCATTAAGATATGTTGTGATTACTTTAGATTAGAATAAAACGCATTAAATAACGCCAGGTTTGTTTATTATGCTCTTGACCACAGCAAAGATTCCTACCTTACTCATCAAAGTTATTCACCTCCACCCCTTTGTATAACAAATTATAATAGTATTGATGATTACACATATCGATATCAGGATACGATATTTTCAGAGATATTTAAATAAAAACTTTATTTTCTTAAAATTATATATTTCGATATATATTATCCATACTACTCCAGTTTCCAGCCTAACAACGCTCTACTTTAACAATGTGTCCGTCCCACTCTTGGAGCTGATGTTGGAAAATAGCGTCAATCGGTATCGCATCTTACCGATAGCACCGTCATTGTTTTTGCAACTCTGTGCTCAGCCCATCTCTAGTTGAAATCATATGACTCCCAATCGATACAGAAAGAAAAAAAGTTGAATTTTCACCGTCGTTTCGCTTCGAACTCCACGCCTTTCGCCACACAATTCGCGCAACTCGAGGAGCGAGTGCAGCAGCCAAAAAGCGACAAGTAACCGCAGCAGAAAGCAGGCACTTTGTCACTCGCCGTCTTGGTTTTTTTTTCTCTCCACCCACTCTGTGCGTCTGTGTTTGTGTGCGTGTGTCAAAATGAATAGCTCGGGATTCATGTTCAACATCGATAATGGCTATCTGGAGGGTCTGTGCCGCGGTTTCAAGTGCGGCATCCTGAAGCAGGCGGATTACCTGAATCTGGTGCAATGCGAGACCTTGGAGGGTGAGTACCGTTTCCCTGCCCCAATTGCCCGGAGGGGGGCTGCTTCTCCTACTCCACACAGTCCCCCACACGCACACGCCCGCACGGTCACATGACCAGGCCGATAACAGCAGCGTGCGTTTGTGTGTATGCACTGCTGTTATGCCTGCGTATGTGTGTGTGTAAGCTTGTCTTGTGATTTGTTGACGTTTTTTCGCAGTTTTTTAACTGAGAATTTTCCTAAAAACCTTGATAACTATGATAATACCAGCCTGTGCCTTGAAACATAAACATTATGGGGATAACAAAGAGCAGGTAGAAAGACTTTTCACTTGTTTTTCGGAGCATGCATAATATGGTTCTTAATAAGTTTTTTTTTTTGAATGAAAGGTTATTAAAAGACTTGTTTTGAGTTGATTTTGAGATATTTCAAGAAGATTTAACAAATTTGTTTAGTGTGATTCGACTTCTTTCAGTAAAAATAGTAACTTAATATTTTTAAAAGTTTTAAACAGACTATAACCCTTAAGAACGCACATTTTTTACAAATATATACAATATTTAAGTTTTTTCCGCTCTTTAATCTTCAAAAACCCAAAAAATAGTTTTAAAAAGTTGCCAACCCACCTTAAAAATCAAATACATTACAAATAAACATGAAATTTAAAGTTTTATTCCGCTCTGACTTCAATAAATGTATTATTAACCCTTCCATTCTTTTGCAGATCTAAAACTGCACCTGCAGGGCACGGACTATGGCAGCTTCTTGGCCAACGAACCCTCACCGCTGTCCGTCTCCGTCATCGACGACAAGCTGCGCGAGAAGTTGGTAATTGAGTTCCAGCACATGCGCAACCATGCCGTCGAGCCGCTGTCCAACTTCCTGGACTTTATCACCTACGGCTACATGATCGATAACATCATTCTGCTGATCACTGGCACGCTGCACCAGCGTCCCATTTCGGAGCTGATACCCAAATGCCATCCCCTGGGCAGTTTCGAGCAGATGGAGGCCATCCATGTGGCGTCGACGCCCGCGGAGCTGTACAACGCAGTGCTGGTGGACACACCGCTGGCTCCCTTCTTCGTCGACTGCATTTCGGAGCAGGATCTGGACGAGATGAACATTGAGATCATCCGTAACACGCTCTACAAGGCGTATTTGGAGGCTTTCTATAACTTCTGCAAGAACATGGGCGGCGCCACCGCCGATGTTATGTGCGAGATCTTGGCTGTAAGTTATATTTTCTTTCATTTTACGTCCCCTCTTATTAATGTGCCTTATATCCCCTTACCTTTGCAGTTCGAGGCCGATCGTCGTGCTATTATCATCACCATCAACTCCTTTGGCACGGAGCTGTCCAAGGATGACCGTGCCAAGCTGTATCCCAACTGCGGCAAGATGTACCCCGATGGCCTGGCCGCCCTCGCTCGGGCCGATGACTACGAGCAGGTGAAGACCGTGGCCGAGTATTATGCGGAGTATGCTGCCCTGTTCGATGGCTCTGGCAACAATCCCGGAGACAAGACGCTGGAGGACAAGTTCTTCGAGCACGAGGTGAAGCTGAACGTGTACGCCTTCTTGCAGCAGTTCCACTTTGGTGTCTTCTATGCGTATCTCAAGCTCAAGGAGCAGGAGTGCCGCAACATTGTCTGGATCGCCGAGTGCGTCGCCCAGAAGCATCGCGCCAAAATCGACAACTACATACCCATCTTCTAAGTGCAGTGGCTCCCAAATAATTATTATACGTGTTTTTTTTTCTCCTGCCTTTCGAGATGTTGTTTTTTTTTCTATTCGTTCGTCCCCCTCCCATACCCTTGTTATGCAATTGTTTAATGTATATTATATATTATGATACGCTGTATGTGGTTTTGTTACGAGTATTATTATAATTTTATCAAGTGTTCAAAGTGTCCTCCGTTTTCTCCGCCACTCTCTCCCCGATTGGCCTCGCTATATTATATATATATATGTGTATTCGGGAGATATCTATCGTGTTTGTGTACATATGTATAATTATAAATGATCGAAAAGAACGAAAGCAGTTCAAATTGATTGTAGAAAAGAAAGGAAAGCATCAGCGCCCATATGTTAACTACTATATAGAACAAATGCATACCTATACAGCAACAAACAACATAAAAAACATAAAAACCACATATGTGAATGATAAATCAATTATTAAAACATGTTTTCAAACATTCCCTTAAACAAGGCATTCTTTTTTAAATTACTTTTGTTCTCCCAATGAGTCAGGAAAGTGAGTCAGAAAGGTTTATCAAGAGAAAAGAGCTTCGCTTCATATTTTATCAAATTATTCGTGAATTTATACATATCGAACAAAAAAGTTGTCTCTTTTTGATTATTTTGATCCGATATAGTAAACATTTTTAAAATTGAATTATATATACAAATTTTCTTCAAATATAGATACTTCTACTAAGCGAGGCAGTTGGACTTAGTAGAAACCCGAAATAACCTTTCTAAACATTAACCGTCTCGGTTTTGAAGTAAATTATAACCACTTTCTTGTTTTGTTTCTCTGTTTTTATTTTGCATAATTTAATTCCAAATTAAATATGTTGCTTTTTTGTTGGTGAATCGGTGGTATGTCTTTTGGATGCTTCTTCATTAGCCAAAGCCAGAAATGTCAATCGATTGGACAAATAATAATCAAGAGTCGTCGTCGTCGTTATAGGGTTATATAAATACTGGATAAAAGGCGTCGAAACAGGTTTTTCGTTGGCGTAGAAAGCTTTTCCCTATTACATCCACAACAGACAGGGGCACAGCCTCTATTTTATCATAAACTTGGAATAATCTACGGTCTGTGGAGTAGAAAAGCGAACTAAATTAAGCATCTGTAGTCAATATTCTTGAAAGAAGCCTGAACCAGCTATATATATCAAGGTTATTTTATTTATTAGATTTCTTCTGCCCCTTGCGGGTATTATAGCTTCAGTCAGAAGCTTCTAACGCAGTGAAGGAGTCATTTCCGACCCCATAAATCATATATATTCTTGATCAGCATATATAGGCCTTTCTTTCTAGCTTTATCCGGGCGAAAAAAATTTTTTTCTGAAATTTCCCATACCGATATTAACAATATTTTTATATGAAATTTTTCGACAAATCAAAATTTAAAAATCTCATAACTCAGCCAAAAACGCATTAATTTGAATTCGGAAAGCGGCAGTATGTTAATTTTTAGCAGGTTAACAAAACTGCATACTCCATTTAAAATGTTAATTTGTGGCCGATTTCTGCAAATTTTCGTGATGTAACCCCTTTCCTTTTTTCCGAAAAATGGGAAATTTCTAAAAAAAAAAATATGCGGCCGGATAAAGCTAGAAAGAAAGGCCTGTAGATGCTGATCAAGAATATATATGAATTATGGGGTCGGAAATTGCTCCTTCACTTATTTTAAAGCTTCTGACTGAAGGTCCATTACCATTTTTATACCTATATTAACAATATTTTTATATGAAATTTTTCGACAAATCAAAATTTAAAAATCTCATAACTCAGCCAAAAACGCATTAATTTGAATTCGGAAAGCGGCAGTATGTTAATTTTTAGCAGGTTAACAAAACTGCATACTCCATTTAAAATGTTAATTTGTGGCAGATTTCTGCAAATTTTCGTGATGTAACCCCTTTCCTTTTTTCCGAAAAATGGGAAATTTCTAAAAAAAAAATTTGCGGCCGGATAAAGCTAGAAAGAAAGGCCTGTAGATGCTGATCAAGAATATATATGAATTATGGGGTCGGAAATTGCTCCTTCACTTATTTTTAAGCTTCTGACTGAAGGTCCATTACCATTTTTATACCGATATTAACAATATTTTTATATGAAATTTTTCAACAAATCAAAATTTAAAAATCTCATAACTCAGCCAAAAACGCATTAATTTGAATTCGGAAAGCGGCAGTATGTTAATTTTTAGCAGGTTAACAAAACTGCATACTCCATTTAAAATGTTAATTTTTGGCCGATTTTTGCAAATTTTCATGATGTAATCCCTTTCCATTTTTCCGAAAAATGGGAAATATCTGAAAAAAATTTTTTCGGCCCCATAAAGCTAGAAAGAAAGGCCTGTA